AAGAGTATTAATGAGATAAATGCTTTCACAGTGGCTCATTGTATCGCTGAACGATGTGGAGGATCTGCATGCACGAGATTAATAAAAGTGCACAAACCATATCTCAAATTAAGTTTACATCAAATGAAAGATTGCAGCTTTTTACAATAAGAAAGAATAAATCTCGACTCTTGCAGTAATTCGAATAGATGGAGTGGCTGGCAATTCAATATAGCTTTAATATGACAATTAACGATAGCCTTAATATAGCAGGGTGGGAGGTAGCGAAGCATATGACTGCGATAGTTTTATTTTTATGCGAAATACAGGAGGCGATTTTGGCTGTGAAAAGGCATCTTCCACGACTGAATTCCCCCAACGTTGTCTAGTATTCGACTAAGCAAGAAGTACAGCAACAAATTTATTTCTATAAGCGTTAGTAATAAAATACCTAGTGCTATTCATTAGCCATATCTTCTGTTAAATAAAGGGTAGGGTCCTTTGGGGGGTCACTAATTAGACCCTGGGGGGACCTCGATATAAGCCACACATGTACTGTACGTATAAACTGGCTGCCTGTCCCCAGACATAATGAGTCATTAATTATAAAGTATTCTCGTATCTCCTCTCATGTCCTACGCTTTTGCGTAAGATGGGGTTGACGCATCAGTGACCCTGAGTTTCTAGATTTGTATTTTTTTCTATTTTAGTCTTTCTCTCGCCTTGGTTACCCTTCATATTTTATCAACTGTGCCTATTCTCAAGGTAAAAGGATTTTTTTTTATCCTAAACCTGTTTCCAACACTAGTAACACTGCTCTGCCTTCCCTTCATATCTGAACTAAAAAAAATCACTAACACCCTTCGTCCTCTCGAAGTAAAACTCGCCTTTCCACAAACCAAAACTTACACTGATTCTCCTGCTTTCAATGCTGCTGGTGTCTACTATATTTCCTGTTCGGCTTGTCCTCTCCATTAAGTCTGCGGTAAAAAGTTAAGTCTGCAGACAGTGTTTTCTTCTGTCATGTTAGGGACTCTAATCGTCATATAGATTGGTCTTCTAAAATAATCTTTACTGCTTTTACTCTTCATCGGCGCTGTCTGTCGAATCGGCTCTGATACACAACATTCCCAACATGATTGATTTATGAAGATTAGGCAACCCAAGAAGTGACACGAGCATGAGTAGGTGGAAAATGTTTAGTGTGAATGTGATTTTGGGTCTTGAAAAGATAGTTGTAAATGAGAATATGATGTGCCGACACAAATGAATGAGTCAGCCAGTCGGTTATCAGGTTTTCTTGGTTACCGGGAGCCCATCCTGGGTACTGTGTACTGTGTATTGAGCGCGCATTTTGAATTGTCAGTCTATGTGGCTGCTAATTGGGGTTAACACACATATTGTTATTATTGCTCACATTGTTATTAAGCATTATGCTTATTTATTCCTTATTCCTTAATTTATTCCTTAAGTGTGGGGGAGGAGGATACTGCTCGACAGTATTTGAGGGTGTGTGTTCAGCTGGACACTTGACCTTAAGAGTGGCAGTGTTGATGGTTTCAGGGTGGTTACTGCTAGTTTCAAAGACTTTTAAAGCTCTTCTGAGGTCCTTGGTTGCTTCACATTCCAGGAGGTAAAGTAGTGGTGTTTCTGTAATTGTTAGGCTAAAGATGCATTCCCACTAATTTCCCAGTTGCATCTGAAACCTAGACGTAGTCGATACAACAGAACTGTTATTTCATTAGGGTATTGCTTTCGGAATATTAAACCTGTCTAACTGTGGCCTGAAGATATCATATTGCAGAGGGCGCACCTTCTGTTACTCTGTCGTAGATGGGCTTTGTTGAGATGGGAGTCTTTTTTGGTGTTTATGTTTATGGTGGATTCTTTTGTGGATCACTGGATGACAAGTTGCCAATTTAGCAGTTTCGTCAGCTTTCTTATTTAATGGAATTCCAACATGGGATGGTATCCAATTTAAGGTTATGATGAGACTTTTGCCTTTAGCTACTGCTGCTAGATACAAAATTGTTGTAACTATTTCCACGTTGTCTATCCACTGCTTCTTTCATAAATTTGTGTATTTGAAGTGCAGCATTTTAGTCTGTGTATGATTGCATTTTGAGTTTTGTGCAATCACATATGCGAATGTCTGTTGTGTGTGAAACAGTTCAGCTTGGGGTGATGATACTGGTTTTACCAGTCTCCATATGCCTGTTCGCTGTCCACGCAAAGAGCAGCACCAGCACGCTTATATTGTGTGTCCACCGATCCGTCTGTGAAAATGTGGGTGGCTCCTGCTGCTACAATGCTGCTCTTTGCCGGCCTTAATATTGTTGGATCATAGGCAGCCTTTTTCATCGGAAGACCTTCTATTACTGTTTTGAAGGTGGGCTCCTCCCGCGTTGGGGGAGACCATCCACATCATCGGGTATGATGTGGATGATTACCTCCCTTATCAAGAATCATGCTTTTTAATTGTAGCGCAACATGAGCCTTAGTCCTGATTTTGTTGTTGACTTTTCTTTCACAAGAGTCCAGGAGGGTAGACATATATGTGAATGCCTCAGTATTAACTAAGACAGTGAAACGAAAATTCCGAACGTTTTCGTGTTTCACCACATTATCAAGGGGCTGTTACTTGATAATATGGTGAAACGAAAATGTTCGGATACATACGCACAAGAGTTTACATTACATATAAGTTTTTACATTCCTGTAAAGCCACTAGCACGCGTAGCGTTTCGGGCAGGTCCTTAATAATAATTTTCTCCGGAATACGACCCCACCGAATCGTTTAACAACCTGGTACCTATTCACTGCTGGGTTAACAGAGGCTACAGTTAAGGATTGGCGCCCGGTCAATCCCCCCCCCCCCCGGCCAAGATAATCGAATCATGTGTGCTTTTGTGATTATTCTTGCATATATATGAATGAGTTTGGGTTGATATAACTTACGGAAGACATCTCCCGTCACGCAGGGTGCAGTCGCACCGCCACAGATCTCCAGTATCATCTATTGATACTGGTAATGGCTCAAAAGGGCCACCGCTTACAGGCTATTCATGCCCGTGCCACCTTTTGGGTTGTTTAATCTTCATCAATCAATCAATCTTGATATAACTAGAACTGTCACGTATGGGGGTAAATAGGCCTTATGCAGTTGTCTTAATCCTTACGTTCTTATGCTGTTCACTATAACGAGAATCATTAGATTCTTGGAAAGACCCAGAGAGAAATGAAATGTTGACAGTCTGCAAAAGTGAGGATGTCACTTGCATAGACATTACCCGGGATGAAGCATTAATGGCAATTAAGGTTGGGAAGTCTATCGTCCCCTGGGGAGGATTACCTTACCTTATTGTTACCTTTTCTTTCGATGGTTAATAGGACTGACGTCCCCAGGGCCGGGTCAGAGTTCCAGGCGAGAAGAAAAAATAGCAAGCATCAAAATACAAAATTTAGGAACGCCAGTATTTCAAAAGTTGCCCATTTTTCATCATTTTGTCCACTCTGACAACACTGCCTCTGGGAAAAATTATACATTAATTTTGCTCAAAGAGGTTACCTTGCGATGATTTCGGGGCTCAAGGTCCCCGCGGCCCTGTCCTCGACCAGGCCTCCTATCATTGATTTGCCACGTTGCCTCCCTCCCAGTGCACCCAACCACTTGGGCTGGACGGTAGAGCGACGGTCTCGCTTCATGCAGGTCAGCGTTCAATCCCCGACCGTCCAAGTGGTTGGGCACCATTCCTTACCCCCGTCCCATCCCAAATCCTTATCCTGACCCCTTCCCAGCGCTATATAGTCGTAATGGCTTGGCGCTTTCCCCTGATAATTCCCTTCCCTTCCCTCCCAACCTACACTGCATTACTCAGCATTTGGTTGTTAGTTTTGTTAGGACTTCCTGGTCCAAATAATGTACAAAATCACAAACTTGGCACCCTGCAAATAGTATCATGTTGTGCTTGTGTATATATGTATACTTTTTTAGTGTTTTCGGACAGAATACTGGTATTACATTAATCTGTATCCAAAAAGCTTAACACAGCCAAATTCTAATGTTCAGCAAACTCGAATGGGGGTAGACTCTATATGATTCAGCAAACTGTCTTCAGGGAGATCCCTTGAGGGTAATGGATTGAAAATGACTGATTGATTGATGAAGATTAGGCCACCTAAGAGGTGGCATGGGCATGAATAGCCTGTAAAAAATGACTGTCATTAGTGTTATTATATACTCTTTATTAATGGCTCGGTTGGGTTAGGTTTCATTACATTTCGTTATGTTAATATGGGGTATTATTGAAAAAATATGAAATATGGAATTCAAAAACTATTTAAGTGTACCCGAGAATTTTATTTACAGAAAACTAAACTCTTCAGACTGCTTCAAAGAAAACATGCTCAGCATATACGTTTTATACTTTATGCCTGTGATTTATAATACAATAAAGGTATAACTTGAGAATATTATGTTTAGGACAAAGGCTCACTTGTCAGTTTATATGTAGACAATTACTGGAACACACTCCAGTAGTCATTTGTAGTACTTCATGCTATGCTGCCCAAAATGCTATGCGTGTTAGTAGCTTTGCATGAATGCAAAAATACCAGTCTTATGTAATATCACCAACCCATTGTACATTCTTGCAAATACAAATTATTATTATTATTATTATTATTATTATTATTATTATTATTATTATTATTATTATTATTATTATTATTCATTGCTTCAAAAGACCAGATGTATAGTACAGCCCACACATTTGAAAGTGAAGAAACAATGTTTTGGTCCATCCTAGACCATTATCAAGACTTGAAATAATAATGGTCCAGGACGGACTGAAACATTGTTATTTCATCATTTTGTGGTGTGTGTGTGTGTGGGGTTGGATACCAACTCTTAAACCACATTATTGTGACTTGGTATTTTATTCAGCATAACACTTACTACATAAACAAAAATAATTGCATTCATTAATTAGCGTGTTTTCTAACATTTGTAATGGTTACAGAGGTGGCGTGGTGTATGCCTGTTTCTTGCTCCTGGGCCTGGGAACTCTGCTACCATGGAATTTCTTCATCACTGCTCAGACGGTAACTTGCATTTTTACTTCCTTGCAATGTCCCTCAGATAACATGCATAATAGTTACCTGCACTTATGAAGCAATGCATTCTACCTTGAGTTGCCATTATTGCTGCTAAAATGGAGGTAAATTTTTTGGCTCCTTTCACTGCCATTCAGGTGGTGACTTAATATGTGTAGCATTACTTGCAGATGACACTAATCTGTAGTTTAGTGCCTTTTGTATATCTCTTTTCTTATAAACTGGTAATACATTTACTTTGTGTGTGAGGGGAAAATCGGTAATCGATCTTAAATAAAAACAATAAAAAATCTTTCTTTAGTTCGTAGTAACATGCTACAATAGTATTGGAAGATGGTAGTTTGTAGTAACATGGAACTTATATTTAAATTGTTGCTGTTAAGTAGTTATTTAAGGTACTGTACAGGCAAACTATAGTCATTGATCTCAGAGTATTTAAACATTATATTTATACATTCAGAGTGGTTCAGAAACTTTCTTCTCAAGTCACCATGGTGTTTAACAGGGCAAGAGATATAAAATAATACTAAACAGCAAGAATCTTAATTTTCACAACCTAATACTGTTATAATACTGTATGTGTGTTCTTTTCAGTCAGCTCAGAATGTTCTGAGACCATTATTTAATAAGAAAAGTGCAAATTAGTGTCTGTAGGCTAGTATGCATTGCTCTCTAAACATTTTCCTCTACCCATTTCAGTGAGAAATTAAATGAGAAAAGAAATTACAATGTACTCATTATTCATTACCAATGATACTACATTAACAGTGTGTTTTTGCTTACAGTACTGGGATTTCAAGTTTCGGAATACATCACTCGGTAATGAGACAGCTATTGAGCAGACTGAATTGCAAAGGTTATACACGCCTATGCAGGTCTGCTTTTCCCAGATACCCAACTTTGTATTCCTCTTCATCAATGCTCTCTTCAGCCACAAGTAAGTTTCTGTATTGAGCCAAATGGTGGCTTCCTATAGCTTGCTTGCAGTAGTAATCCAATATACATGAATCACATCAGCCTTTGGTGTTTTGAATGGCCTACTGGGGACTAATGCCAGAACCTAGCTCCCCTCACAGAGGAACAGAACAGGAGGTTATGATCACCCTTGCCAAAGAAAACATCCAGAAAGTAAATGAAACAATGCAGACAACTGCAAAATTCAGAGAGAGAAAAGAACTGAAGCAGCAAACAACTCCACATACAATTTACTCAGTTGTTAGAGTGAACTCCTCCCTAGTTATGACTGGTCACCAACAGGTGGCAGCACCAATGAAGCTCCTGACGCCCATGTCATCAAGGTGTTGTCCCAGATGAGTGTGAATTTCTTCATGACTTGCCAGATTTAGCAAGTCCCAGTTTTTCCAAGATAAGTGTGGGTCAGCCTTTAGTCTCTGCCCTGTAGGGGCTATTTCCTTGCATATCATTCCTGAGTTTAGTACTGTATTTGTTTCACAAGCTTGTTTCAGACCTCACTTGTTACATGGACTTTGTTATCCTTTGTCTTGAGTTCCATGTGTTTTAGGCTGCCCTTTCCTAGGAATTTGTTTGTTGTTGCCCCTGCTCTGATAGTAGGATTTCTAGTAAGCGAGATTTTGAGGGTTTGCCCACTAAGTTGTACTACTGAGTAGAGTACCTCACTCTGGGTAGTGCAATGGTTTCTGACTTCTCTGCAAGGTTCTGTGGTTGGAGGTGTTCAGGGCTTTTGCAGTAGGGCACTATTGAGGTGTATGCTTGCCTATATGGTGTGCTGCTTATGCCCTCCTTAGCTGCATTTATCCTTAGGTCTGAGTTCAGTCAGTTCCTTCAGTGAGTATCCTGAGTGCTTGGGTGTACTGCATGGGGTGTTCTTTCAGGCCCCTGGTAAACCCTATGGGTTTTTGGTGTGGCTCAATACAGTAGTTTGACCCACTGGGTCTGAACTCAGCTCTTATGAGTTTGAAAGGGTCTCTCATCCTTGCTACATGCCTACAGCCATTTTTTCTGTTTGAAATGCCGCTAGTTGGGTGGGTGATACCTTCCACCCTAGTGTTTGCAACGTTTGCATTTGACGGGTCTGCTTTGGTTGAGCCTGCTTCATGACAAAAGGGTTGTTAGGCTGGCTCATGCTTCTCTTGAGCAGGCTTGGTAAGGTGTTCGTGTTTCTTTCCTCTCCTCAGTTCTCAATTGTCCTTTTGGTCTGTGATAGGTTCTTCAAGGTTCTGTTTTTGTGTCCCCCTCACTTTCAGTTGTTGGGTGTGGGAGGTTCACACTCGGAATTTGAGTTTTGCTCTTTTGGTCCTTGTGGGAGGTTGTGGTCCTTCAGGGAGCCATCATTTAGCCCTTTCAGAAAACCAGCTTTGAATGTAATGAAACGCCTCTCTCTGGTTGTGTCTCGGTGGCCCCCTGGTTCCTTCCCCACCCCGTTCCAGGTGCATTGGTTTGTGATGTTTCAGCTCCAGATTGAGGTCTGATGACATTCTTTTCTTTGTGAACCTTGCACTTGTCTGTATTGCTTCATTTACTTTCTGGATGTTTCCTTTGCTGAGGGTAATCATATTGCACCTCCTGTTCCCTGTACTTGCGTGAGGTGTCCCTGTTTTGACTTTGGTACCTAGTAGGCTGTCCAGGACTCCTAAGGTTGATGTGACTCGTGTGTATGGAGTTACCTTAGTGAGCTAGCTACAAGGGAGCCACTCACATCCAACCGGAGAGACATTTTATTACTTTCAACACATTTTTTCTGATGCCCTTAGCAAGTGTAAAGTTGCTCCTCTGTGAATCAGATTGGCTTTTACCACAAGCTAATGTGGATTTAGCTGCACAATTTACATTATTCTAAATACTGGTACAGTACTAGATAAAATTTGAGTAAAAAATTAACGTTGCCTCCTAAGAAATATTTAAGTTCTGGGTCTTTTTATTTGCAGCCCATTATAACTATATCATCACCATACATAGTTAACATCACTGCTATTTTTATACAGTACCCTATGTTATTTGGTAAAAAATTGATAAGAATTAGATATTTATATAATTCTCTAAGACTTTTTTTTTTTATCTCTGGACAGGATTCCTCAACGACTCAGACTTCTGGTGTCGCTCACTCTGATGATAATACTCTTCTCCCTGACCACGATACTTACACAGATCAACACAGATGATTGGCAATGGGGCTTCTTTATAGTAACTATCATCATCATCATTATTATTAACAGTGAGTGGGTGTCAAAGCAAAGTGTGTTTCTTTTATTATTTTATAGTTACTACTGAAATATAAGCAGTGGAGATATGTACTTAAATGATCATTTCATTCACTTGGACCATTGGAGCCTCAAACCATGGACCACAAAAGCAGCAGCCTGCTGTCTTACTAGCCATGCCACAAGAAATCCTACAGTAAGGAAGGATTTCAGATGTCCAGTTGGTATCTGACTGAAACTTTAGGCCTTCCCTGAGGTGCCATTTGAGCATGGAAGTGTTAGGTGATCCACATGCTAATCATATAAATTGCTAAGCACAATATCGTGGATAATAACACTTCATTCACTTAAACCATTGGAGGCCTAAACTTCTAGCTTGATACCAGTTGGGTACCTCTGCGATCCTTCCTTATTAGATGGTAGGACTATGGCTGCTGGTTTTGTGGTCTGTGGTTCGAGGGTTCAATGGACCAAGTGAATGAAATGTTGCACATGTAGAATGAAATGTTGTTATTATCCACAACATTGCGGTTAGCAATTGTACCTCATGTGCTCATTATTTACCTACAGTTGTTCTAGAGAGTAATGAAACATTGTAGAAAGTAAATCCTTCAATAATTACTAGAATTTCTTTACCATGAATTTTGGTAACTTGATTGCTTTTCTTCTACAAGATCCTGTACCAAGAAAATAGTTAGCAGGATAGTTCACTATACATGGATAGCTTCACTATACATGGAAAATCAACAATGCCAGCAATGCGGTCACAATTAACCAAACATATGAAACAAGCTTGAATGGTCCCCAAGCCCTTGTATGGTCATGTTTCTAATGCATTTGCAATTTATTTTAAGGGAATTATGTAGTGCTGTATAGATATAGTGAATTCAGAAATAAGTACATTTACATATCTTAATGAAGAAACCCTATTTATGGTCATATCCCAATAAAAATCCTTAAGATTTTTTTTACTAACACTGCATTAAACTGATTTTAGTTTCATCATATTTGTTGAGGTGATTTCTATAGTATGAAAGATATTGAAACATTGAATACCATGGTAATGAGGAAAAAATTACAGTACAGTATGCGTTATTATTTTTTTGAATTAAAATACAATTTCCAATTTAAACCTAAACATTACTCTATTTTAATCTCAGGTTCAGGAGCTATCTTCCAAGGAGGCTTATTTGGTGTTGCGGGAATGTTTCCTGAGAAGTACATTACTGCTGTAGTGGCCGGACAAGCTCTGGGCGGTGTGTTTGCCTCAGGGGCACGCATTGTCTCCCTCTCTGTTGGAGCAAGGGATGAAAATGCTGCATTTATATACTTCATGATTGCTGTTGGAGTAATGATTCTCACACTAGCTGCCTACCTTTATATGTCAAAAACAGTGAGTAACTGATATCTAGTTTGTTATGCAGTATTTTAATTCCACCCTCATAGTTATAGAGAAGAAACAAACCTAATTATCTATCAAACTCTAGTACGAATCCTCTTCTTGTTTAGTACAATGTTTGCTATTTAATATTTAATACTCATTTTAACTATGATTTAGGTAAACTTTCTGATTACTGTTGCTTTTAGTATAATGAGATTTCACTTCCTAGCATTGTGAGGGCTTTATCCATTTTAGTCTTTTGAGCAAAAGTTACTTTAGTGTCTTGTTTTGTTCCTTTTCCAAAAGTTGACTAACATGATCTAGCTTATTTGCTTGAAAAAAGCAATTCACCCAATTGTTTTGCTTTGAGGGTTCCAGTGTTTGGCATAATCTAGATAGGGTTTGAGAAGGCAGGTAAAGCTGAAGAATAACTTTAGCTTTAGTATTCTCTAAAAATACTTTTAGCTTTAGTATTCTCATGAGACAAACTAATGTGTCTTGTTAAGAATTATCGTACAGTATCCTATTTGCCTTAATAATTTAAGTGAGTGGTTAAATTTGACAAAGTTGATACCATATTTAAAGTTAATTTATATAATTTGTAAAAAACTGTTTATATCCAGGAGTTCTACAAGCACTACACTAACTGTCAAGAACCTGAGAAAGAGAAGAGTGGACCTCCTGCTGGAAGGTCAATATCTGAGCAAATTGAGACCTTCAAGGAGATATGGCCAGTGGGATTGTCAGTATCTGGTGTTTTTGCTGTAACCCTCGGAGCATTCCCAGCCTTGTGCGTCAAGATCATTTCCCACTCAGATGACGAAATGTGGGCAAGTAAGTAATTTGTCATTGTTCAAAGTTTTACATTACAGTTACACTGACTGCTCACTGATTTGTATCATATAGATTGGACTCGCATCAGAGTTATCCAAATTTATTTTCCCAATGTTCTCTGTATTTTATGTCTACTGTAAGTACTTGCTGGGTTAATGGGGTTTTTCTTCTTATTTAGTTAATTTATTATGCATGCCATACCCATCCTGTGGGCGGTAATGAAAAAGGTTACTGGGGCACATAATGAGTTCAGGAACTGAACCCGAAATTTCATTTGGCTAAGCAAGTTAGTCTTGATAATATAGTTGCACAGTTTAATGTATATATCCACAGTGGATTCAAGAACTGAATCACAAGTACAGTCTCCAAGCTGAAGCAGTTCGCATTTACAGTGAGCTAGTTTCATAATTTGATTTGCTTATCATAAATTCCTTTGGGGCCGCAGTGCCAGGTCTCAATCTCCTGGCCAGCAGGCAGTCACTTGTTTTGCTTAGAGAAATTACATGATTTTTATCTCCTAAAATGGAAAACAATTTTGGTTTTTGTGCTTTTTTCCTGGGAGAAACTGAACTTTCTAAATAAGGATTTGTATGTGCCTGCCCTACCACACCATGTGTGGTCTCTGTAGCTTTATGTCCAAGTTCCCCATTTACTGCAAGAGATGGTTGTGGTGGATGTCAAGACTATTGTCTGGGCGATGCTCATTGTGTCCTTCCAGTGTAGGAACTATATATTCCATGCAGCTTCACAATGCATACAGTTTAGTTTCTTCTCTGGTCTTGATATCTTCATCAGCAGAGGCTTTGCCTAAGTTATTTGTTCTGATTCTCCAGGACTCTGTATAATACCACTTTCTGGTATTATGATCATATGATTATGATTAGGTATAAATCACATGAACACTCACTTATTTTTTAACCTCTTTTGTTTTTCTCAGCTCTCCTGTTGCTGGAAAAGAAGGTTGGCTAGGTTCTGGCTGTGGTGGGAGTGGCTTGCTAACCACTGCATTTAGTGCTTTGGTTGAACCCTCGTTCAAATGAACGCCATTGATCCTGTGGCAAGATGAGGGGAAAAGAAAAGCGAGATCCTTGGCAGTAGGTTAATCAGCCACCATGATGCCTCTGTTTGGGATTTGAGTAGCACAGTTGACTTGAGTCAAGGTTTCAGGACAAGCCAGTCCTGATCATGAATAATGAAGGCAGGAGAGACACTGTAAAAGCTGAGAATTCAGACCACCATTGCTGATGTCACTATTTTGATGGCTAAATCATTACAGTATATAATTATTTTACATATTTTGGATAATTCTCACTCTTAAGCCCTTTCAAAAATAATGCAATTTAAGACAGATACAGTAAATATCTGTATCTATCTTAGATTGATGTATCAAAGATTGATTATATCTTTCTTAGATACATCAATCTAAGATAAATACAGATATTTCCTGTATCTAATGATGTATCAAAGATAGTTACAGTAAAAGTACATAAATGTTATTGGTGAGTAAAGAATCATTTGGAATAAAAGATGGGTTTAGACTTGTTGAAGACAAAAGTAAATTGCTTAACCATTGAAAGAAATGAACTTTTAAAAATACAGGCTATTTTTTCTGCAGAGGTGTACTTCCAGCCTGTGGTTACCTTTCTATTGTTTAACGTAGGGGACTATGTTGGACGTCAAGGTGCTGGTTTTCTAATGTGGGTAAGTTATAACATGAATTATGATTGTTTTTTAATGGCAATGAAATGTTTCATATCAGTGTGTTTTATTGTATGGCATTATTAAAGATACCTGTACTATATAGATATACTATATATAGATATACTATAGATACATTATTGTACCGAGCACAAAGGTAGCGGCACTCCATTCTCTCTTCCTGATTCATTCAGCTTTCACATATAGTTAGGAGGGCAGATTAGAGGAGCACACTATATATACACACACATTGTACAGTATACAATTTAAGAAGCACCTAGACCATTTATTCAGCCATTTTTATTGTGTGGTTTATAATTTTTATAAAATTTTGCTACTACAGTACAGTGTATATGATCATTTAAGTTGTTACGTAAATATTTTATAATTTGTGGTCAAATATTATTACCAAATAATAAATATTTAACATTTGAATTGAAGTTTTAGATTAATTTTATTTTTGAATAGTAGCTTTTCTATAATTTAATATTTTAAGTCTGCATTCATTGGAGTAAATTAAAAACTGGAGGCTAATATTGCTCTCTCTAATAGCTTTTACTTTCCTCAGCCTCAACGTGGATCAAAGATTCTATACGTTATGGTTTTTCTGCGCATAGTCTTCATTCCTCTGTTCCTGCTGTGTAACCACAACCCCAGCTCGATCATTCCCACTGTGTTTGGACACGATGCTTGGTATGTGGTCTTCATGCTCCTCTTCTCCCTCTCCAATGGCTACTGTTCATCCCTCTGCATGATGTATGGCCCAAAGTAAGTACAAACCAAATATGTATTACATGTCTCCTGTGTCCTTAACAGTGTACTTTTAACCATGCTTACATATCTGTGACTGAAGGGAAATTATGTTTAGCTCTATACAGTATGTATATGTCTTGTCTATTAGTCTTGTACCTGTTGTTATAATTTAACTTTCTAGAAGTTTGAAATCTTTGCCTGCATTAGCTTGAAAGGATAATCACTGCATTTAGTGATTAGCCTTTCAAGTTATGGATAGTGGTGGCTTCCAAAACTTATGTCAGTGCATTCTGCATGTTGATAACCAGCACAAGGTTATCTTATTTCCTAACGTTTCTTTGACTCATTTGTGTTTTCAGTTTCCACTTACATCTATTTGTCCTACTTTATATCAATTTAAAAGTGGCTATCCTTGTCCACCTGGTCTATTTTCCTCAGTACCTTGTATGTTGTGATCATAATCTCTTGTTTCTTCTCTCCACAAGGTTTAGGAGATCTAGTTTCCTTAACATCTTACTTTTGGTACTAATCTTATTGCAGACCTTGGTACTTTTTCAGTTTTGGTTGTATGTTTCACAAGGTGCAGATTCTAGGCCAGTTTTGCATATTTCGGTGCTGTATTGGTTCTAATTTAGGCCATGTAGATTGTGTTGAAGGGGTTCTTATTTTTTATTAGTTATGTTTATCAGCATTTCCATATGCTGTCAGTGTTACCCTATTTATGTGTGCCTTTGGTGTTAATGATGGAATTATACCCAATCCACATTATTATTTATTATTACCAATTCAAGTTGTTGCCTTTTCCTTATAGAGTAGATTCTTCTTTATTTCCTTATTCTCTTTCCCATCTTCATTACCTTACATTTGTTGAGTTCTAGAAACCCCATTTGTTTGCCTACTCCTAGAGTTTGTCGGGGTCTTCCTGACAAACAATTATTCCTGACAGTAATATTTTAAGTGTAGTTATTTCTTCCAAATTTCAATATTCATCAATGTTTACATTCCTCATTAGCTTTGTATTACATGCAAATATTGACATGTATGAGTTGACTCCATCAGGTAGGTCATTCATATAAATTAGGAACAGCATTGGTCCTTGGACCAGGCTTTGGGGGGATCTCTTATCACTTTCCTGCAACATAAAACCTGCTGTTGACTGTTTTCTGTCTTTCAAGTACTGTACTCTCATTTTTCAGTTCAATGTCTTTCTAGCTATCCTAGCTTGTTTCTTCATTTTGTAAATAAGCCTTTCATGAGGAACAATATCAAATGCTTTTGACAATTTAAGTAGATACATTCTACCCTGCCTTATCGGAGAGGGCTCCTATAATGGCTCGCTGTTGCTAGCAACTTGAAAAGTGCCATCAAATTTGGATCACACCAGGCACTTGCACGTCACTACGTCTACCAAGGACTGGAGTCAAAACCTGCCCTCCTCTGTATAGGGAGTTAAGGATTTTAGCTCACTAAGACCAAGAAGGATAGAGCAAAACAAAACAGACAACAGTGAGGTAAATGAACACAAAAAGTCCTGGTTTACCAGATTAGTTTATCCAGGGAGGATAAACCGGTTAGGGAGCCGGTCGGCCGAGCGGACAGCACACTGGACTTGTGATCCTGTGGTCCCGGGTTCGATCCCGGGCGCCGGCGAGAAACAATGGACAGAGTTTCTTTCACCCTATGCCCCTGTTACCTAGCAGTAAAATAGGTACCTGGGTGTTAGTCAACTGTCACGGGCTGCTTCCTGGGGGTGGAGGCCTGGTCGAGGACCGGGCCGCGGGGACACTAAAAAAGCCCCGAAATCATCTCAAGATAACCTCAAGATAACCTCAAGATCCATCCTTTGAATTTTTATCCTGCTGGGGCCTTCTGCTTGTGTACACTTCTCTTCTTTTAGTACAGTATTTGCTTCAAACGTGTGTGTGCATGTTCAAGGTAAGGAATCATCATGGTAACTTGCAGGATTTCTAAATTTCATTAGAATTGGCTCCTTTATAAAATTGTGTAATTAACTTTTAACTTTTTTTTTTAGGATGGTGTCTGAAGACAAGGCTGAAGTAGCAAGTAGTATGATGGCTGCCATGCTGGGCTTAGGGCTACTGACAGGAGGCCTTTCGTCATTTGCCTTTGCACTTATTGGCTAATGAGGCCTAAGCAAAATCTTGATGTAGATCTAAACTTGGAAGTCATATTGTTGTTGGTTTAAATAGTAACTCCATGAAGAGTTATGATAGAGCTATCCAGCTGGAAAAAATGATTTAAAATTATATATTTGTAAAGACATTGCATCTTTATCACTGATAACAGTTGTAATGTACAGAGTATCATTCATATATATATTTAACTATGAACTCTACTATATTATTTCAAAGAATTGGAAAGACTTGCATGGGAGGTGCATGTATTGATCGATTTATTGATGCCATAAATGGCAGCTAGTTTATTGGGCACACTACCTGTGAGCAGATAGTACAGAAGACTTACAGTAGACAAAAGAATGTTTAATCAGACCTCAGTGGCTTTGACATTGAATCCTCATATTCAGGTTGCCATTCAGTTAAGTGGCCTTGAACACATACACAATGTACAAATAAAAGCAACACCACACAGTCCATATATATATTGACAGCTCTCTCAGTCCAACCAGGGTAAAAAGTACTGTACTGTCATTGTATGCTGGTCCATCGGTAACACAGTTGACAGGAATTTAAAGCCAACAATTGGGAATTCACCTTACAAGTTGAACTGTTGCCTATTCTTGTAGCATTCAAAACTGAATACACAGCAGTAGACAGCATAGCTATTCCTGACTGCCTGTCCTCATTACTGGCCCTAAATATCTTGCAGTCAAATTAAACATGCTTGTTGTGCATGTTAGCAACTAGAAAACCAAAAAATGGGCAAAATATTGCACCTTTGCTATACTTGTTGTCAGGTCTGCTGCAACTAACTTGAGCCATTTGTGCAGAGCTATTGTTTTCTGTCAAATAATAGGGAGTGTTGCTTATTTTTAGACAGCAATAATTTAAGCTAAATCAAAGAACTGTCATGTGTGTATTTAGATGAAGATGCAAAAAGATTAGAAATGAGCACTGTATCTTCTAGTGCTTTAATTGTATACCAGCTGGAATTCTGTTTTTTTCTTCATTGTTTGTATTGAATTAAATAAGCACAGTATTATGAAATATATTTTTGTCTTGAGTATAGTTTTTACTATACAATACTGTGTTAGTCAAAAATCAATTCTTATTTCCTTAGTTTATATTTTGACTGAAACAGGAAATAAATGTTTCTGCATAGGTTGAATGTGTTTGTATATATCTGATGGCATAATTGAGATTTGTACAGTACCAGATTGTTGAACCAATGTTTGTACAGTAGCTGTGGTAAAGTAGTTCTACAAGTTGATGTAATGTTAAAGTGAGATAACCTAGGCAGATATGGCGAGCTGGTATCTTTTGAATGTTGTGGTGTGAAATAACCAAGGGGAAAAAACTGAAAATTTGCATTTTCTTTTTGTGACAAAGTATAGTTCTGTATCTGAGCATTGTAATTTGTCTCTCCAGATATATTTACAAGATTTCATAAAATCTTTGAATGAAATGTAATGTGTTAACAGACTCATATTTTATTTGTTACCTTCACTCTACTTTCTAATGAAAAGGGTTTTATCCATAAATGAAATATTAGTTCCTGTTTTTTATGAGGCTTATGCAGTATTTACTTTTATCTTTATATAATGGCCTTTCATATTTTTGGGGATAAATAAAGTCTGCAATACTTGTGAAAAATTAAGTTAGAAGTTAACTTATTTTAAGGCTTATCGTCTTACCAAATTATAGTGATCATAAGGTGTGTTATTTATCTTTATTTGTGAAGAACAAAGTTATTTCACCTTAACTGAAAACTTATAGCCGAGCTCTTGTTCTCTGGCCATAATGTTAATTGTACATTTTAAATTTATTTCGTGTACTGTTCAGTATGATTTTACTTTAGTTATGACTCCGGTGATTTAATATTAATAAAATTACTCGTAGGCTTTACTTACTGTTGTAATACAGTGTACTGTACACGTGCACAGTGAGACTGGATTTTGTCTGTAATGAGTTTTATTTGTTGGATGTAATATTTTTTCTCTTGTTCAAAATGTTTGTAAAAGAAAATTGTACATTATTGTACCTGCATTATTTAGTTGCGTACATTAGTTTGATATAAAATGCATTACCGGTGTTCCCATAAGTAGAATATTAAGAAAAAAATTGACATTTTGACATGCATTATTTTTAAAATATTAAATTGATAAATAGGTAATTCTTTTTTTAATTTGACAGTTATTTTTTATCTCATTTCAATGGGTAAATCTTGAAGAATCAATAAACTGATTAAGGTATGATAAAGGTATATACTTAGTTTGATAATGTAAGGGTGTGATGTTAAGATATAATCTTGATTTATAATAACCTGCAAACTGACTAAATGGTGTGACCATATTTTACCTCATAAGTCTTAGATTCTCTCATTGTTTACTGGTTTGTGTTCCTCACTTCATTGAATTGAGTTTTTTTTTTTTTAACTCTATATGCCTTAAGATTCAGGATGTGTGTTGCATATGCCTTGTTCAGGTGCTTGTATCAAATCTTTGTTGTTGCAGATTTGTAATGTCTAATTTTTACAGAGCTCAAAGTACTAGTAGAGATTACAGTGACAATACAGGATTGTTTATTAAATTAGAGGAGATTAATTATCATCACTAGCAGTTTATTATCCAGTTTCATGGAGTTTCAAAAAGATACCCACAAAAACTATCATACATAGCAGCACCCCACCATTGTATACAACTACATGTAAGTGAAAAGTGCTGCTTTTGAGTCATTTATAATTTGCCTTTCCCAGATTACTATCCAATAATATATTTGCCTAAATTTATATGATGGAGGGCAGAATGGGTAGCTTTATTTGATAATAAATTGGCCTTCCAATCAACAAAACCAGATATTAAGAAATTTCATCAGGTTGAATGCATATTGTCCATACTAGGTAGAATCTTGATCATTTGATGTAAAACTAGATTTACTTTGTCTCCCAAATTATCTTGTTCCTCGCAGTTACACACACTTGTGTCGGCTGGCAAAGTTTCATGGATGACCATTAATTTTGTTTTACCATTAATTTTGTTTTGACCATTAATTTTTGTTTTGTTTGTTCAGTTCTCTTAAATCAGATATTGTTACTTACATGCCTCAGTGACTGATTTATTTACGGCCTGCCTTCATATAGGCATGTAGAATAATATTTAAGTTCCTTGCCTTTACGTGTATCTTAGATAGTGTTTTAAATCTATACACTACTGGCTTTGCACTTTCATTTGATACAGTAACTATTTATTACTTCCAATATGTATTAATCAGCATTTCCCGTGACAGTGGGAAATGGGTAAAGTATAATGTATATACATAGTACGTTCACTAAATGTATTATTCTACATTTAGACATTCTTTGTACATTATATTCTTCGTGTGTTCATGGTGCAGATTTGTACGCTACTAAATGTTTTCTGGGCGTTGACAGTCCTTGATATAAGCAATTAGAACAGTTTTCAGAAATTGTCTATATATATATTTGTATTATTTGTTAGTTATGTCATTACTACACATCATTTTATGTGTATAGCTATGGTTATTTTTAGTATCATTGGCAAGCAATTATTTTCCCACCTTGCTCTAACTACTGAACGGTAGAGCGATGGTCTCACTTCAAGCAGGTCGGCGTTTAATCTCTGACTGTCCATTTGTTTGAGTACCATTCCTACCCCCCCCCCATACCATCCCAAATCCTTATCCTGACCCCCCCCCCATACCATCCCAAATTCTTATCCTGACCCCTTGCAAATGCTATACAGTTGCAATGGCTTTGTGTTTTCTCCAGATAGTTCTGTTCCCTTCCTATGTGGATGTGTCTAATCTCAAAAAGTCAATAAAAGCAGACAAATCTACATGGTAAGGATGTCTTAAATTAATTTGTTGCCATTCATTTGATGTGTTCTATATTAAAATAAATAATGGCCTTTTATATTTTAAGTGTATTTTTTTTTTTCTAAATCTGTGTTATTCTGTGTTATGGTCATGTAATGAACCAGTAGAACTATATGGTGCCACATGATTGTTTAGTTCATTATGTTTACTTCAAAACTGTGTGGCACCTGTGTCATGAAAGCAATACGTGTACAAGCACAGTGTGTTTGAGATTTACGTTTTATTGTTCTTTAAAGCAAAGAATTTGTTTCATTGAGCTTTTGCAAGTTGTAATTAATGTATTTTGAAGTACTAAATATTATTTCTTTATCTTTTGTTTCATATTATTGTACACCAAAAGTGGGAGAAGTGTGTAGAGTATGATCTGACTGGGTTCATTTAAGTGTAGCTGAAAACCAGGCAATAAGACGCCCAAAACAGAAACCCTGAAATATTTTTCCACGAGTATTATGCATATTACTTTTATAAACTTACTTTTATTATATATTTTTTATTTACAATAATATTTATTCATAAAGAAAAAAATGGTTTATTTTCCTTTATTAAGTTGTTAACTTTTACACTGCCATGACTGCATATATTTGACATTCTCGTGCCCCATGATTTGAATAATCAGGATTAATTAGATATATCAAGTTCCAAGTTTGATTAAAATTGTTTAATTTCATATTATACAAAATCATCTTTATATTACTCAATTCATTCAATTGGTCTTGATCCGATGATCTTTGTCATCTGAAAAATGGCAGTAAGTTCTAAGATCACAAGGATATTGGTGCAGTGTGTTACCACTGAGCCACCACTGACTTCTTGTTATTTATATTTTATTTTCAAACACTACTCATGGCCTCATGTACAAGTACGGTACAGTAAGGTCTAATGTAAGTTGTCTTAACTCTTTCTATTTTTCTGCATGTTTATAAAAATTTATTTTTAAACATTTCTAATCAGATACTGTAATTATATTGATAATTTCTGATAATGGTGTTAGTAATTTCTTTTAATTTCTGATAATGGTGTTAGTAAAATCAAAGTAGCAAATAAACTACTGACTATATAAAGATTTCCTATTTAAAACAAAAACAAAAAAAGTAATGTAGAATATTTATTCTGAGTGCCTCGGAACCACGAGGCACTCAGTATGTCGCCCTCAAATGCAGCCATCACCTGATACATGAATAGCTAAGAAGCAAGTGAGGCTGGGAAAATATTTGGCTATGAAAATCAATTAAAAATAATCGTATGTGGCTGTCCATCTTTGTGAGGGGGTGACCAGTTCAAGTCATATCAGGTCACAGATCCTTTCATGACACTTGACAAATGGCACTGAGCATAGCTTTGTGTGTACAGTCATGAAACTTGATGCTTCCAAGAGAATACACACACAGATGGTGCTGGTCTGAGGTGTTGTCTGGCTCACTGAGGTCCCAAGGCACTGACATCACCTCCATATTCCTGCCAGACACCCATTTCCATCCATCATCAATCTCACGCATGGCTCCCACCCAAAGGTACTCAGAATCTGTTAAAAAATATACTGATTAAGAAACTGAACTTCATAAATATAAAATTAACTAATCTGTTGTAAATACACATTCTTTACTTTTCATCTTATGGGTATGCACAGTAACAATAACTATAATAGGGTACTGTAATTCAACCACTACTGTACCCTTGTAACTTGACTGCAAAACTGTTCATTACAAATGTAAATTGATTAGCTTAAGGAACATTGGGGTCCAGTTCCTGAACCCATTATGTGTCTAAAACATCTTTTAACTTTCCGTGCAAAGCTGAGAGATAACGTAAACCTTGTTTCTCACCTGTCTGCAAATCATAGACATAACTCCTGAAGGCTGACATCTCTGAGGGTTCTGCCAGGTCTCCCAAGCCACCCACTGCTGCACCGTGATCTTTGCATGCCTCCCTAGCCATCTGCCATGACATTCGTTCCTCCAGCAGGTAGAAACAGTCCCTTCCCACCTTGCGGTACGGTAAAGGACACAACACTGGTGAAATGTAAAGTATTAGCATTGGTGAATGTAAAGTATTAGCATAAAGTTTATAACAACAATTTACTAAGGGGGGATATTAAAAAATGTGTCAACACAAAATATGCAGGGTGATGCATTCATCACCAAATTTCTAGTGGAGAAAGATGAAGGCTGCCCTCACCTTTCTAGTAAAGGGGCGTAGCCGCATTCTCCCACACAGGCAGGCCTAATTTTAAGCAATTTTATCTTTTAATCTTGCCCTGGGGGGTATCTTATTTGGCAGCATCACACTCAACCTGTGAGTGAACATACTGCCAAAGCAGCATGTACAATCCCCCAATAGGAAGGAGCAAGTATATGGTGTCTCGACCCCAACCTGCTGTCACCCACCTTCCAGGTCTTGCCATGTTTTGTTCCCACCCACTTTACCTCAGGGGAAGGGGGGGGGCTTTTCCTGACATACTATAACTTCAATGGGAGGCTCATAACAGGATCTACCCCCCCCCCCAACCCTCATGTAAGTCAGGCTTCCAAGTCAAGAATAAGCATTGCAAATTAATAGTAATAATAATAATCTGCAACACAAACTACTGCAATAACTAACTTGATATTGTACGTACGTACTAGATATTGTACGTAACTTACTGAGTGGGGCATCCTCCTTGTGGTGCTGTAGAGTTACAATGGCCTCTGTCAAGTTTTTCAGGATAACCTGTACGTCACTGAGAGACCAATTTAGCTTCTCACTATTCTTCTTCATCTCAAGCAGCTGTGCATTTCCTTCAAATGCACTCTCTGTAGGGCAATTGTAGATTTTTTTTTAACATTGTGGTTGTTTATTTAAAGTAAAAAGGCTTATTTATTTACCTATTCCAGCAGCATATTGATGTACATTAAGAGATACCTTCACTGTACTGTACTTTTTGTAAACTCCGAGGTGTGTTCCAGTGTACATCAAACTTTAACCAGCACAAAACTAAAACCCCATATCATATAAGTACCCACCTTCTCTCACCCATCAATATCTCCCCAAAGCTACTAATTTATCATTATATACAGTACTGATCTCTCACACATGTGCCTACTAGTTCCAACACCTACCGTTGAGAGCGAGGCACCAAGAGGTAAGGTTGTCAAGATGTGCCTCAAGTCCTATAGTGGTCTGGGTCATGTGAGTGTGGGTGGCAGCAAGGTTCCTGACAGTGTCTCGCTGGCGACGCACTTCCCGCTTGAGATTTTCAACTCCTGTTGGCATCAGGACGTTACGGTACAGTAAAAGAAGGCCAAGGTAAATTGCAGGAAAACCTTTAAAACAGTATCAATAAAACAGTACTTCATTTGATGCATCACGCTATTGTGATTTCTGTGTGTGATGAAGCAGCCCTTGTGGATTTGTTCATTTGATGCATCACGCTATTGTGATTTCTGTGTGTAATGAAGTAAGGGTGAAGAGGTGGAACAGCCTATTGGCAGAGCCCGGGTGTATGTGGGGAATTGTGTAAAACCCTGGTTTGTCTCTCGGAGAGACTGCAGGATCCGTGGTAGGTCAGGATGATTTCCCGGTTGCAATTTTTTTACCATGTCTAGCTCAGTCGATTAAGGCAGTGTTTGGAATTCTCTCGGACATAGGTTCGAACCTTCATCACGGCCCTTGTGGATTTGTTCAGAAGATAACGTCAAAAATCATCCCAAAACCAAGTAAAATCTTATACCAGGAATTAAAAGATGACTAACAACCTCAGGACTAGCAACGTACTCTACAGACCATGCATACAAGACGGCTGATCTCACTGAGACCTTTACAATACTGAAAAAAATGTGATGATAAAGAGTACTACTTTAAAATGTTCAGTGTAACACATCAAGGGGCAACTGCTTCAAACCACAGCTATTATTGAAAAAAAAAATGTTTTTTCACTCATATGGTAATAAACCCATGTAATCGCCTGTCTACTGAAGGGTGGTATTAATATTAATATAATTTTTTATCATTGATATCAGAGTACTGTATTAAATATGACGTCTTTATAGAGCTATCTTGATTACTGAGACAGAAACAATGCTCTGCAATTTAATAATTCAAGGGTACTAATCTGCATAGATCTCTTGTGCACCCCACTTGAATTATTTTATTTAAGCATGAAGATCTCATCATCAGAAAGAAATATCTGCTTTGGAGAAAGTTAACAGTGAGCGACAAAAATCATCCCAGAACGAATTTGACTCATACAACGGTTATATATACCTTCCAAAATAATTAAGTGTGAACTAAAATATTTGTTAAACTTAGACTTGCATTTTACCTCGCCGTATTTGATGGTGAAGATCCTGCAGGAGGGCGGTGTCCTCGCTTTGGGTTTTTACTTGCTCCTCCAGTGACCTCATTCTTGAGTCCAGTAGAGTGATCACATCAAGGTCTCCCTCCACTGCTCTCACCCTCTTCAACAGCTCCAGGAAGATCACATTGTGAGGTAATTCTGTGCTTCCCTGCAGGTCGAAAGTTGCTTCGAGGGCCAATAGCCTCTCGTGGTCCAATTTGAAATTCGATTCTAAGCGTTCCACCTTCACTTTCTCCTCCTCCAGTGTCCCGAGGAGAAGTGTCTCAAGTGCCAGCCTTCTGCTGGTCTCTTTCTTGAGGGAGTCTTGAAGAATACGCTGTGTCTGGGTTTGAGAGGCTACTAAGTCCTCTAAAGCATCGAGGCGTTCCTGTAAGTTTTCAGGCACATCCTTAACAGAAAATTAGAAAAGGGAACAATAAACATTGCATGTGATTAGTGGCTTTACAAGAAATATAAATACAATTACTGTAAACATTGTCACGAGACCCACTGTAAAGTTTTGCGGGAAACGCTTTGCGTAATATTGGCTTCATTAGTATATATTCACCTAGTGTCTCTACTCTTTCGGCCCGCCTCTCAACTGTTACTAACTACTGTTTTTTTTCTCCACACCACACCCACACACACACATACACACCCAGGAAGCAGCCCGTGACAGCTGATTAACTCCCAGGTACCTATTTACTGCTAGGTAACAGGGTGATAGAAACTCTGCCCATTGTTTCTCGCCGGCGCAGGGAATCGAACCCGGGACCACAGGATCACGCATCCAGCGTGCTGTGGGTTCGTAATTGTGTACTTGTAATTGTGTAATGTGTAATTGTACATTACTCTAATGTTCTTTGTACACATATTCTTTTGAATAAACATTATTATTATTATTATAAAATATCGAGAAATAAATTATATTTTATTCACAAATATATATAAAATATCTACTTATCATACTATACATATTGATGTTGTGTGTAATACGCTCCTTAGGCCTGTCGATTGATTGATTGACGAAGATTGAATCACCCAAGAGCGAGGTGGCACGGGCATGAATAGCCCGTAAGTGGTGGATTTTTTGAGTGAATGTGATCTTTGGTCGTGAAAGGATATACTATGTGCTGTAGGTCTATAGTTGTTGTTGTTGCTATTTTAGATTCCGCCTTTAATGTAGGCCTATCATTTGTTGTTGTTATAGATTCAGCTACTCGGAACAAGTTCCATGTAGCACGGGCTATGGTGAGCCCGTAGCTTACCTGGCACAGGAGCGGGGCAAGTAGCACGGGCTATGGTGAGCCCATTGTGGACTTACCTGGCACAGGAGCGGGGCTGTCTGTAGGCCTATCAGATACGACTGCTAATTAAGGTTAGTTTGTGTGTTACCTGGAGATGTTCGGCGCCCCCCACACCAACACACGTCAACACAAGCACCACCTGTTGGTATTAAAATGTATTAGTAATATTGATTTAGATCAATTATGCTTGGATTATGATAACCAAAGAATATTAAACAAATACGTAAATACAATTTTGCCCAAATACGTGATAAATAGGTTATGTATAATTGCCGCTGGCTTCCTGTCCCCGTCGAGGTCATTATATAGAGATGGTGGCCTTCAGGTATATATAATGTACAATGTACCTAGAAATACTTCTCAAATCATGCTACAATGAACCTGTTGATAATCCTCAAATTTCACTGTATTGTACCTACTAATTTTCTTACAATGTTATCATTTTTTAATTTTCTTACAAATTATCTACTTAAATTTATCTGTTAGATTAAGGACCTGCCCGAAACGGTATGCGTGCTAGTGGCTTTACAAGAATATAAAATCATCAGTGTTACGTACTCTCATAAACCCAATGTACCTTCTTGTATATATATATATATATAAATAAATATAAATGAGGGCCCCTCAGGTTAATTCAGGTAAAAATAAAATAATACAGTATTTATGAAAATAGGGTTCAGTCCCTGAGCCCATTATGTGCCTCTGTAACCCTTTCCACTACCGCCCACAGGATGGGTATGGGGTGCATAATAAAGTAACTAAACTAAGCATTTACTTGCAGTAAATAATAGGATTAGATTATTCACGAAGAGAAAGTTCATATTGGAATAAAATTTAATTGTCTTGAGTCTATATTAATTTCTTAATTCTCTGGCCTGTTATTAAAGTTGAGTTAAAATAATTAAAATTAATCACTAATTAACTAAAGATGAAATATTAGTTTCATGTATGCACCCAGGGTGCATGTACCACCCGTCAAAGTTAACTTGTTGTCCTTGATGCATTTGAAGATCTAATGTATACTAGACTAATACTGACCTGCAGGCAAGTCCTCCACATTGTGAGGCCAGTAACAGACTGAAGATATACCCCTCACTGGAGTCACTCCCATCAACAACGTTCTTAGGAATATCTTCACTGCTGTGCTATTTAAACATTCCAATTACCTCACAAAATATTTGTATCCTTAATTATTCGGATGGCATTCCGAAGCTGAGCGGAATCATGCATAAACTGATTCTCACACTGTAAAGATCTGTAATTTACTATAGATCTTTCTTCGAAACGCTTTCGTTGTACTAATTAATGATTATCACAGGTTCAGGTACTTTCCCGATCACAAATGTAATCTTCTCCGGTTGCTCCATATACTCGCCTTCCCTACAGCCTAGTGTAACGTTGGCTGATAATCTAAGGTGAAGGACCCTATATGCTTACAAATGATAGATAAGATTAAGATCTCTTATACTCTAAGTCATTCTTGAAGCACCCAGGGTGTACACATGATACACTTAAGATGGCTGAACAGCGCATTATATACAAAGATATTATGTCTAACACGTATATATGGTTTGCACCTTCATGATCACTGATCTAAACTGTGTTTCCTTCTTAATCGAATTTCGAAGAGATCTCCATTGGCAGCTATCACTAACATATAATCGGCGTTCGCAAACAAAATGATAAGACATTTCTCTCTTGGATAAGGAATCATGCGACTGAGCTAGAATTTGTTAATACTCAATTAGGCATTTGACATTTTAAAAATTGTCACATGCCTTGTATTTGAATGAGAACAAATTATTTGAAAGGCCCGTGGATGAATGAATGAAGGATAAATTACGACTCCTTAATGTAACATATCTTACCTAAACGGAGCAAATCCTGTGCCCAGTTAAATTGTTTACTTTCGTACTCTTGAAATTATAGTTTTACAGCTCAATAGGAGCTGAGAGTGGCAAACGCAAATAATGATATTGTCATTATTGTTTTTAATAGTAAATGTCAAATGCTTTTGTAATATTGACAAATACAAGACTCTGAATATGGGGCATAACAACCCACGCCACACCTACCGAATAATAACATTACAATGCAACAGATTGATGAGGAAAAGGACCTTGGAGTCAAAATCAACCACTGAGTGAAAGTTGCACAGCAGGTAGGGGCAGCAGTTAATAAAGCTAACCAAACACTTGGAATAATCAAGTGTACCTTTGACTTTGAAGAAAAGAAGGTAGTTATTCAATTGTATAAATCTCTGGTGCGCCTCCATTTGGATTACTGTATCCAAGCATGGAAACCTCTTCTTCAGAAGGATATAACTGCCCTGGAGAAAGTGCAACACCAGGCAACAAAAATCCTTCCAGAGCTAAATCAACTCGTGTATCAGGAATGGTTGAGGGCCACAGGATTGACAACACGAGGCATGACATCCGCCCTGTCATGCAGACGAGGCATGACAGGGCGGATCTCACGGAAATTTTTACAATGCTAAACAATTTACACAAATAAACGATTCTTCGCGGCGGGGATCGTATTCCAGGGACCTGCCCGAAACGCTACGCGTACTAGTGGCTGTACAAGAATGTAGCAACTCTTGTATATATCTCAAAAAAAAAAAAAAAAAAAAAAAAAAAATTTTGGAGGATGCTGATCCGGAAAATTTCTTCAAAAGGTCAGATGTAACACAAACAAGAAGCAACGGCTTCAAGCTCAACAAGCCACACTGTAGGACTGAAAACAGGAAATTCTTTTTCACCCACAGCCTACTCGCCGAAACCACAAGCCGCCGGCTTCCTGTCCTCGTCGGGCCATTAGTGTTCTCCGTTTTAGTCTAAGTGTTTTTCCCCACACCTTGACCGAAACGCTGTGCGTATTAGTGGCTTTAGGCATAGTATGTACTTGCTCTATCTAGAAAACCAACATAATGTTTGTAACTCATCTTGTATATATATACTTTTACCTGAATAAACATTTGATTTGATTTGTTAGTGGCTCTCAGGTAAATACACGAATTTTATGTCAGCTTCTTTACTACTTTTAACACGCGTACAAGTGCGTGTTGATAAAAATTGCGTAATTATAGGCTTTATAAATATAGTTTATTTAATGCATTGAATCAAATTATATTATACAATACAAATACCCTTTTGTGAATCTCTTTAAATTATGCAATATTTAAAGTTCTTAATAAATATATGACAAAACTTTCAATTCTTAATTAGCAATTAATGATAATTTTGTATTAAACAAATAAATATCAAGTATAGAAAAAACGGAATTACTATATATAAAATGTAATAATTTTGTTTCTTCCGTAGATAAATAATAATTAAATATAATAGTTAGTCCAAGAATATATTATTTTCTCTAAAAGCATTGAGAAACAAAGCACGAACAACATGCTCTGGCAGTTAATGGTAAACTAAACCAAATGTACGTTTTCCGGAAATACGATCCACCAATTACATTCTTGTAAAACCATAAGCACGCGAAGCGTTTCAGACATAGTGAATAGTGAGTGAACCTTTAAAGATCGGCGTTTAATCGTTCCACACTGCCTAAGGCACGATTGATGATTGATGAAGATTAAGCCACCCAAGAGGAGGCACGGGCATGAATAGCCCGTAAGTGGTGGCCCTTTTGAGCCATTACCAGTATCAAAAGATGATACTGGAGATCTGTGGAGGCGCAACTGCACCCTGCGTGACGGGAGATGTCTCCCGGACCAAATGGTGACCAAATGGTGCCTAAGGCACGAACCCGAGTCGAAATATATTACGATGCGTTGTTACGGTTGTAGCAACCACATCAGCACTATAAATGTGGCAGCTACTCCACATTCAGATTAGTCAGACTAGACATTCAGAGTCAGACTAAGTCTGTGCATATACTCCATGCAAATAAAAGGTCTCAATCTTTGGAACTCACTGCCTGACGAATTAAAAAATTGTCCAACCCATGCCCTGTTCAAAAGTAAAATAAAAAGTACCTAATTTCATCCTCATAGTTCCCTATCATGTGCTTCAAACTCACACTCTATCCTGCACTGCCCACTTCCCCAGTATTAGTACTTAAGACATATCCTTACCAGTGTAATCACCTCTGTCAACTTATATTGTAGTTATTTGTTGATATGTTTATTCAGGTAGATTCAGATGTTTATTCAGGTAAGGTATATACATACAAGTGATGTTACATTAATGGATTGATATATAGATAGAGCTAGTACATACAATGCCTAAAGCCACTATTACGCAATGCGTTTCGGGCAAGAAAAACATTAATATCTAGAACTTAATACTAATTGAGCATAAAGAATAAAAAGTGTTGAGAACAAATACAAATAAAGATAAAAAAAAGGGGGAACATGACTGAAAAAGCAGCACAAATACAATAGGTTGACAAACAGAGTTGATTAAAAAAAAAAAAAGAAAATAACAGACATGGGTTGACAATAGAGGAGTGAGGTAGATTACAGGGAATTTATTAGGTAGTGTTTAGTTTTTATCTTAAACTGGTTGAGAGAGGTACAGTCTTTAACATGGTTGGGAAGGTCATTCCACATTCTGGGCCCCTTGATTTGCAGAGCATTTCTAGTTTGATTAAGACGTACTCTAGGAATATCAAAACTGTATTTATTTCTGGTGTGGTGCTCATGGGTTCTGTTACAACCTTCTATGAAGCTTTTAAGATCAGGATTGGCATTATAGTTTAGCGTTTTATATATGTATAATACACATGAGAGAATGTGCAGAGACTTAATATCTAACATATTCAGAGATTTGAGTAGGGGTACCGAGTGATGTCTGGGGCCAGAGTTGGATATTGTTCTAATAGCAGCTTTGTGTTGGGTAATTAGAGGACGTAAGTGATTTTGGGTAGTAGAACCCCAAGCACAAATACCATAGTTGAGATAAGGATAGATAAGGGAGTAATAGAGAGTCACCAGGGCAGGGCGTGGTACATAATATCTGATCTTAGAAAGAATGCCCACAGTTTTTGAAACTTTTTTTGAAATATTTAGAATGTGTCCCTGGAAATTCAGCTTGTGGTCAATGAGAATGCCAAGGAATTTGCCATCTAATTTGTTACAAATTTGGGTATTGTTTATTTTGAGATTTATATGACTAGAGGATTTATTGCCAAACAGAATATAGAAAGTTTTGTCAATGTTAAGGGTGAGTTTGTTGGCAGTTAGCCAAAGATGGACTTTATTTAGCTCAGTATTTACTGTGGCATTTAGAGCAAGAGGGTCAGGACTGGAGTAAATGAAGGTTGTGTCGTCAGCAAATAGAATTGGTTTGAGGTGTTGGGAGGCATTTGGAAGGTCAAATATAAAAAAACTCGCTACAATATACCCATTCATCTTACCTGAAATGTTAGATTAAGGAGCTTGAGAATGGTCCAGGACGGACCGAAACGTCGTCGTCCCTTCACCTTTGAGGCTAAGTAACGAAGATAGTTACAAGATACGAGCCAGATGGTGTTGAGATTGCGAAAGAAATTATGATAAGAACTTAAGCCAAAAAATCAATGCATAAATGTTTGCACATATGAGACTGGGATTTATTTCTCGAAAAGTTAGCAATAAAATACGCTTTTTAGTTCTTTATTTTTAAAATTAAGACCAGCTGCAGAGATTCTGTCTAACGAAGCTGCAAGCTAAAACACCGTTATCCTATAATGTTCATCTATAGCTTGACCCTAAATACTCGTTTATTAAACGAATTTATTGTTAGAGTTCATTAGGAATCAACTTAAGGCAGAGTTTCCAACAAATACCTTCCTGTGATTGGCTGTTGCGGGGAATGCCAACGCTTATATGAATAAAATGCAAAATCAGAAATACGTCGTTTTGCTCATTAACCTTGTTGTTGAACAAAAGAACAACAATTTCTGTTTTATACATGACAGTAATTTCCATTTAACTGAATAATGTAGACCAATAAGAGGGCGGATCAGGCATTGTATCGCCGATATTATTTGTGTGAGGCAACCCCCACTGATGACGTCACAAGTTAGGTAGCCAGCCCATGTTTCTGTAACACTCGTTACATCCTGCAGTATTTAATTATCACTATATTAATACTTTTAAATACTTAACATTTCACTTTTTAGGTAGATTAAAGTTGAAGCAGAATGTCATAAGCAAGGATGGTGTGCTGAATAAAGATGATTTATTAAGTGGATGGAGCCTTTAGCTGATCCCTTCCTGTGATTGGCTGTTGTGTGAATGTCAACAAAGAATCCCATACCTCTTGTGGGCGGAGCTTGGAACCTCCTACCCGAGCACAACAACCCGCCTTATGGGTTGCTGTTTGGCTATTTTTAGTGCGTTGGAAAAATAAGAGATGGCGCTAGTTGTATTTTGTGGGGTAATTTGTTATAAGTGTAATTTGATGTCAACAGATGGCGTAAGCTGTACCTTATGGCCACTGTTGACAAGCCAGTTGATAGTGTTCTCTTCTGCCGACAGATGGCATCAGCTGTGTTATTATTACTTCCGAATTCCCTTTAAACGCTGATCTACAAATCCCTTGGCTTATGAGAAGGTTTTATACCATTTTTTTTTTTTGAGATATATACAAGAGTTGTTACATTCTTGTACGTTGTTACATTCTTATTTATGATAAGTATTAGATAACTGGAGTTCCACAATTACTTTTATTTGTCAACTGTTCAGGATATCATCATATTATGTCTGGTTAGGACGTACTGCTCTCGATTGATGAAGATTACGCCACCCAAGAGGTGGCACGGGCATAAATAGCCCGTAAATACTGCTCACGTAATATTATTCAGGGGGGGTGGGGGAACTATTAAGTGAAAGCGCCAAGCCATTACGACTATATAGCACTCGGAAGGGATCAGGATACGGATTTGGGATGGAACGGGGGAATGGTGCCCAACCTCTTGGGCGGTCGGGGATTGAACGCGGACCTGTAGGAAACGAGACCGTCGCTCTACCGTCCAGCCCAAGTGGTTAAGCGTAATATTATTAAAACAACAATTTATGCATATAATAACAGAATTTCACACTAAAAATACTTGGATATATTGAAATTTGGTAGTGATTTCCAATCTAGGAATCTCCTATGACTAAACTGTACTTTTTAATCATTTTTATGTACTTACTACTTATTATTAAATTATTAAGTACTTACTATAATAATTAAATAAATTATTTTATTTAATATTTAAATTAAATGATAAAATAATAGGTAATAATAAATCATTGTGTAGGGGACAGGCAGCCAGTGTATATATACATGTTAGGCTTATACCAAGGTGCCACAAAGGTGCCAAATTAAAGACTGGGTGCTGCCCGGGCGGGCCCAAGGGCTGCTGGCGGCCCTGGCCAGGCTGAACTTCCGTGCCCTTATAATCACCATTGTTTAATAATCTTCACAGAGAGAAACAACTGTAAATATAGGAATAGTTTATTACAACATACACGGTAAAGAAAACAGCTCGGAAACTAAGGAAATAAAGCTGCCGAAAAAACATTAAAGTCCACTTCAAGTTTAAGTATGTTTATTGAGACAATAAAAAATACATCTCAAAGGGATAGAGTAGCTTAGGCTATCTCTACCCCCCCCCCCTTCTACTTCAAGTCCCTCAAGGGGCGCACAAATTCAGTGAGTACATATACACAAATCACAATACAAGAATCCCATTTAACATACCAGGTTAAAATAGGAAGCACAGCATACAAGTGTTACAAGTTACAAGGGAACAAGTGAGAAGGCAGTGGAGGCCAAAACCGGAATTTCACACTGATTTTAATGCAGATATGTCGTGATTATCCTAATATTAAGATGTTAAGGCACGAAACTAGTAAGTACATGACCAGAACCTAACGATGCCAACACAGAAGACACTGTTCAACATAACAGGCCAATTACACCTGATTAATCTTTGTATAATAGGAGCTGCCTCGTATGAGCCAATGGGCCTTCTGCAGTTAGCTTTATTCGTATGTGCTTCGTCCACCATTTATCCCCTATGTAGTCCCCTTCTTTTTACCTTTATCACCTGACCCCGTACGGGTATAAATCAACGAGTCCTGTAATTTAATTTCACTTGAGAATGAACCATGGAGGTTCGAAACGTTGTGCAAATTGTATAAATAAGTGTAATACATTCTATAGTAATTAACTTTTTTTCTTCACCTTGAAATAACGAAAATGAGTTTTGGAGAACAACTCTTTCAGCTAAACCCTGATGCTAGGAAAATAGTTAGAGGGATAAAAGCCCTATACCAGAAGATAGTAAATACTGAATATGCGGTCATATTCAATGAGACATGTTTAAAAGAAAACCTTTGAAACCCATATCATTCACTAAAAAAAATTGGGCTACTCCTATTACAAATTCACTACTTTTAGGCCGTCAGCTCGCTACTTTGCGCAATTTATATCTGGCACCCCCAGTGGGCGATAGGGCACTGGCAGGCGGCAGGTGCCGTGGTCGCCAGCGGATGGTCGCTCCTTGCGCCTCGCGAACGCTTCTGGGCGCATAAACCTCCTTCGGATCCTTCCAATGTTATTGAGAATTATTGTCAGAGTTGAGGAGGAGTTGCGGCTGCGGTGAGCATCTTGTGTATTTCTGGAGTTACTCGGGCGTCGCTGTCCTTCTTGCAAGAGGAGGGGGGAACACCCACATGTGAGGTGCTCAGGCGCTGGGGGTCACTAGCATGCTATTATCTCTTAAATACAGTAGGGTGTTTAATACATGAGACGGTCAGATAAAGCTTGTGTTCTCGCCGTTATGAACCCGTATACAATGTAAGATTATGAGGAATTAGCTAGCTTAAGTAAGTGTGTTTTTGGGTTTGGGTTAGCTTAGGTTAAGTTAGGTTGGGTAAGATCAGGTTGGACAAGGTCAGGCTGTGGTAAGGTCATGTTGGGTAAGGTTAAGTTAGGTAATGTAAGGTTGGGTAAGGTCGTGTTGGGTACGTTAAGTTAGGTAGTGTCAGGTTGGATAAGGTCAGGCTGTGGTAAGGTCATGTTGGGTAAGGTTAAGTTGGGTAATGTAAGGTTGGGTAAGGTCGAATAGGTTTTAAAATTCGTTTGCGAACTGTCTTGTGTACCATATGACTTGTATCTCCGTTAACCCTTCCCGTTGATTGCTTTGATTAGGTTAGTTAGACCTAATCCTGCACCTACACCTAGACCCCCTCCGTGAAATGCTATGTGTATTAGTGGTTTTGCAAGAATGTAAAAATACCAATCTTATGTTATCTCACATACCCATTGTACCTTCTTGGAAATAAATATTATTATTGATTTGTTTTCTTATTAATAAACTACTCAGCACTATGAGACGTAGCGTCTTAATTTGTGCAGGAGTTTTGTCCATAAATTACAGTATAATTTTAAAAGTATTTATAAGTTTTGTATATATTGTATATATTAGGCTATATGAATTAGATTTTCAAAATCTGTAGTGCTATGTGAATTGTCTAATGTACGAACTCTTGAGATGGATTTGTGTCCTGTTGTCGGGAAAAGAAATGTGTTAGGCTTATTAAATTAAGGAGTCTAGGCTAATGATTGATCTTTCCAATACAGTATATGCAATCCACAACAATTGCCTAACTCTTGGGTATCTATTTACTGCTAGTAAATATGGCCAAATATCTCAACTTTTTGATAATTTAATTCTTGTCAAATTGAATGTGGGCCATCTGTGTTAACCACTGCACGGCAGGTTTGAAATACTGTACTGTCATAATACTAGTGATACCTAATAATAACAAAAATACTATTAATAATAATTTATATTTGTAAAGAATATATTTGAGTATAGTACTGTATATAGTTTTCACTCAGTATAGTGTTTATGTACAGGTATTTTTCACAAGGCCAATAATACTGTGCATCATTTCAGTTATAGGCTACTATTGTAGACATTCCAGTCACTTCGGTCGTAGCCTAAATGGTTTGTTAACAAATTTTAAGACCTTCTTGTCCTAGCCCAACCTAACCTAAATCAATCTAACCAAGCCCAACCTATTTTATTTTTATTTATTTATTTATTTATTTTTTTATATACAGTACTGTACAAGAGTTTTTACATTTTTGTAAAGCCACTAACATGCATAGCATTTCAGGCAGGCCCTTAATTCTAACTTTCCCCTGAATACGACCCGCCAAATCGTTTAACAACCAGGTACCCATTCACTGCTGGGTGAACAGAGGCTACAGCAGCATGACCAAAAACCGCATAGCATCCAGAAAAATGCAGGTAGCAGGCTTGGAGAGGAAGTCCATGCCAGTTCCAGACCACACAAGAGCTGTTGGTGATTACCAGCACCAAATGAGGGTGACCAACCAGGAGGCCAGGGGCAAGGGAACATTTGCAGTACTCTCGCCAACCCCCCAACTTGGGGAAACACAGTGAAGAAAGTGAAAGAGCCAGCTTCAAACACATTGGGTACAGTACCTCCAAAACTATCAAAAACTCCAGTCCACCCCGACCTTTTAGCCCAGTAGAGGAGTCGAAGCCCATACACCACCTGAAAATAGGCCCATCAAGAGGAGGCAGCCTCAAGGGGCAGACACCCAAACCCAGCAAGAAAGAGAATCCTGATAGGGCAGTGACAACGCCAGAGAGAACGCGTGAACTCTAGCCATGAGCAGTTGAATGAAACGTGACTCGAAGCTTACACAAAAGTGAACCTGGAAAAAACATGCACTGGAAGTAGACAGATTGAACAAAAACAAATGTAGGCCTTTGTAGGACAAAGTTCAAAAGGAAATTGAACCATTTCTTAGCTGAATCGAAGGTAGGAAGAGCAGCCTGGGCACTAGGAGCTGTGGACAAGAGTACACCAGGCACAAGACGGGGAAAGATGGCGGGAGCTCCGAGTTGTCAGGGCTGCCATCTGGTGATGAACTAGCATCACTGACTAGGAGCTGGGACTGGGCAATGAGTGTGTACTACATGGTTTTTCTCAGGATTATCCATGTTTTCTGTGCTGTTGTATTTTTTTTTTTTTGGGGGGGGGGGGAGGGTTGCTCTATCTTTCTAATGATTTTTCCTCTTGGGCCAGGTTGATCTAGTATCCTTAACAGATACTGTTGATACTATAGCAATAGATACTGTTGCTGCTGTTTACGGGACCAGATTTTGGTCTTGGTTCCCGATTGATGTTCATGACTAAGGCTTGGAGGGTTTCATTACATTTAATGCTGAATTTTTATTGCCTATGATCAACATATTATTTGATTTTATTATTGACATATTTGATGGCTAAAATTATATATATATATTTTTAATATACTGTATATGATATTGCTTTCTTTCCTCTCAGTTGAATTTACAATAGGAAGACCATTTAATTGAATGTGGATATTCCATTTCTCACTACATCTACCCAAGAAAAACATGAAATGCAATAATTTGGTCTGGCTTAATAAATTAACATGTATACAGTACAGTTCTTTGATAATTTAACTATCTGTATTTGTATTTTGTTTTCAGGATTAAATAAAACAATTCTATTTGAATTCACTACTACGTAAATATGGAAGGTAACCCAGAAACGCCTCTGTCTTGTGATTCAGACAAATCTGTAAATCATAATGGTGATATCCCAGTCTCATCTGATGTAGCAACAGTACCAGCGTTAAAAGATGCCCTTAACACTCCTGATAGCATGAGGCCCATGTTGAAGACAGAAGCTGCTTCAGAAGATGAGTTTGACACTATTGGCAGCATGAAGGTCACAAGTAAGACAAGTAAAACAGTCAAAGAAGATGACTCTGACACTTCTGATAGTATTGAGACTACAGTTAAGAATGAAGATGACTTTAAAGCTCCAGCAGATATACCTTTTAAGAAACCCATCTTCATTAGCAGAACCATGAGACTAAATACTAAGTGTGATGAAACCCAAAGTAATAGAAGCACTGCAGAAAAGGAAAATAAAAATATAATTTCTGAGTCTGTAAATACATCAAAATTACTGGAGAAGTCTCCGGCACAAAAGTTAATTGAGAAGGCTGTTCCAATTCCATATAAGGTATGTTACCCTTGTTTAAGTGTACAGGATGACTAAGACTTTTGAGAGGATTTGTACTTTAGATATTTTTTATAAAGAGTAAGAGAAAATCTTTTAATTGGCTCACATGACGTGTTCAACGCTAAAGTGAGCTCTGGTATATTGTGTAGTAAAATAAAACTTTAAATCAGAAATTAAATGTAAATTTAAGATAATTCTAGAATGTAGTTAGTGTTTAATCATACATTACTGTAAAATATTTGTTTAACTGTATATTGCTGTGCAATATTTGTTTAGTTGTATGTTATACTGTAGTACAGTATTTATTATAGTTATCGCTGTTTGTTTTTCTCTTCAGGAACCAACATGGAGTGGATTGCCACCTGCTGATTATTCTTTTGAAGTTCTGAAGAATGGAACTATTGTTGAAGTAATTAGTTTGAATAAACCATTTTCAGTTGTTGGCCGCCTAGCCCAGTGTGACATTGTTATGGAACATCCGTCACTATCACGGTTAGTTTCAAGTCTAGTGCCTGCATCATCATGTTTTAGGGCTTGATTTATTCTGATATGTATAATTTATCAGTAATAATTATCTGTTAACAGAAGTTCTGTTAACTTCTTAGTTAACGGCAGAAGATGTGAACATAGATTATTCATGGAGAGGAAGGATATTGTCAGTACTGTATAGTACTACTAGTAATTCTGTTATTCTGGTTTGTTTCTTGTCATTGATGGTCCTTAGTCAGACAAGCAGTGCTTTCTTTTTCCATATTTCCTGAGACCTCAGTAGCTCCCTGAGCTAAGCACTGGTCTCACTAAGCCTTAGCTGGACCAGTTAAGGTCCTAAGCTGGATCTTAGTGATCTCCCAAACGCTTATGAAGATGCATCCTTACCTACCAGGAATGAGGGCCTTGTGTATTCACAATATTATATTGTGGTTGACAATAAATAGATATTGTATATTTTTTACTATATTACTGTACTTGCATGAAAGGGGAGAACAGTAATAATAATGTGTGCATATTATTTACCGTTTCTATACAAGAAATTTTCATTATTCTAATACTGTATGGATTTTGATTTATTTCCAGATTTCACTGTGTTATTCAGTATAGACTGGAGGCTAGTGAAACACACCCACAAGGATTTTATGCATATGACCTTGGGAGCACACATGGCTCTTTCCACAATAAGCATCCGATGAAGCCTCACACTTATTACCGTTTAAGAGTTGGTCACATGCTAAAGTTTGGTTGCAGTACTCGGATGCTGATTCTACAAGTGAGTTACTAGTACATACAAGTTACTGTTTGTTTGTTAGTAATCATGAAGGTTTCATTCTTTGGGTTTCTGTTCTTGAGGCATGAGTTTGATACCTTCTCTAGGCAAAGTTAGAAGTGAATTACTATACCTAGCTACATAGTTGTTTCAGTCTGTGATGTTAAGATCACAGGCATAGGTTAGTTCTTAAGAAGGTCAAGTAGTTATTACCAGTATTATAGAGATATCATATGAATATGAGAAAACTGATAAAGGTACATTGGTCTGTGTGAGGCAGCTCCTATTTATGCCAAACCAAACCATGTAGTGTACTGTATTACAGTATGTAATATTTCTTACACATATACATGTATTACAGTATGTAATAAATTTAGTTAACTGGTAGTTTGATCCATAAGTCAACAACCCCATTTTCAAGCCACTGTTTACACGGGTCTTTTCTGAATCTAAACTTATCTAATTTGTATCCATTGTTTGGTGATCTGTTTTGTGTTGTACTATATAAAATACGATAGGCATAGTGATGTGCTGAAATATATATCGTTAAGTTAAAATATTAAATAAATTTAATAACTTAATACAAACTCTAGAGTTTCAGATAGAAAGGGGGTTGTTCTGACTGGTTAATAATATAGTTAATTTGTGTATCTTTGGAATTTTGCAACGTGAATATTTGTTTGAAAATAGATGCCTGTGTGAATATAAAGATGAAGAAAAAAGTAGATTAGAAACCAGCAATTTAATAATAGGCAAACATTTATTTTATCTTATTTTGACAGGGTCCACAGGATGACCAGGAACCTGAATCAGAATTAACTGTGTCAGAACTAATGGCCAAGGCAGCAGAGCGTGCCAAGAAACTGGACCAACTAGAGACGGGAGAGCTGGAAGAAGTCAACCTTGAGAAACCGGAGGAAGAATCAAAGGGGGATGAGAAACCCCAAGTGGACACAGAAGGAGTAGATTGGGGAATGGGTTAGTTGAAGAATTTAGTTAACTTAGTGGGTGACCAAGAACTTGGTGACCCTTATATCTTTGACCATTTTGCACTTGTATTTATGTCAAAATATATATATGAATGTTTTTTGTAAAGAGCTTATTTAAAAGCTAAATGCAAATGCTTCTACAAGTCATAGTATTTGTATTTTATACTATTTATATTTTGCCTCATTTTTGCTCATCATTCCCTCCTACCTTTTTACTATTCTCCACTTATGTTGCATGTTTAGTTTCTTCTGTTTATCTTTTTAACTTCTTTGAATCATCCCTGAAACAGTTTTAGCATTATGTTCACTGTATCTTGGTATATCTTGAGTTAACGTGAGAATATTTTGGAATAATGTATTTACTCCCTTACAAGTACTCTAGCTGTCTCATACTTGGATTACAGGCCAGTTGTTTATTTTGTAATTATTGTACTAGTGTGACAGTGGAAAAAAATCCCTGTAACACCATATACCTTAAATGAATATGAGGAGATTTTGCATCCACAATGACAGGAAGAGAAATATCTGCTCTAAAATAAAAGAAACTGGGATGTCTCGACGTTACTGATCACCAAAGTAAATGATCAGTCACACAAATCATGCCAACTTGTTCTGCTAGCAAAGTGAGGATTCTACTTGTGATGACAGGCAGGTCTTGACTTCCAGAAATATTTTTACTGTTGAAGTCACTCCCATAAAGTGAAGCTGCTGTTTAAATCAAGATCACCCATCTCTCAACCTACCTGGTGTACTTTGTTATTATGCCTGGAAAGAATTTCCTCCAAAAGCTCCTTACTTACATTAAATATTCTTGTAGGGTTTCCTATGACATAAGTACATAAGAAAAAGATTGATTCATAATTAAATTAATTATGTGGCAGAACAAGATTTCAGGACAAGATGTTAGCAGAATAATATACAATACTAAAAAATGAGCTTTTCACAAACTCAAAGCATCATTTTATTATTGAAAATATAACAAAGGAAAATGGCACTTAACATTGGCTCACAGTGATCTCGGTTTCAACATGCAGGTTGATTTTAATGTATTACTGCTCTCCGCAGTTCATCCAGGTGCTGATACCACTTCTCAAGGCTGGGTATTGCTTCATATTTTGGGCTCTCTTTTCTTATATTTCTAACACTATTGTTTTTGGTGGGTGCTTTTTTTGTACCTATAAAAATGGTAATGATGAGAATGCATTAATGTTAGTGAATACAGTATTGTAACTCATTCCAAGGTGTCATTCTGCATGTGCAGGTTTGTGTATTTAGGTCATGTACTGAAGTGATGTGTACCTTAAATTGCTTATGGTATTCAAACATAACTTGTCTTATACCTAATGAGAGAGAATACTGTTAACTTGTCCTTGTAAGAAAGTACATTTCAAGAGCTGTTTGTATTAGAATGTTTGTGGCGTATGTCATTGACTCCAGCAGTCTTTTTTGTGTCGTATATTCTAAATATTTTTCATTGATAAACAACCCAGTATTCCAGAATTAAATACACGTGTGAACTGGTTTTTGACAGGAGAGGATGCAGAAGAGGAGCCAGAGGAAGAAGAAAATCCATTTGCTTCTCTCAACGAAGAGCTGTATCTGGATGACCCCAAAAAGACACTGCGTGGATGGTTTGAGCGAGAGGGCTATGATCTTCCCAATTATGTAACTGACGACCTCAGCCCAGGGTTCTACAGGTGTAAAGTGGAGTGAGTCAGACACGCACATTCAGATAATTTTTTTTTTTTACAATTACTGACAATGTATCTTTTGTAATGTCTTATGAGACCTGCTGTGCTTGTTCTTCCCATTTAGTTTTAAAATGAAGCTAGTTTGATAACTAACATGGAACATCATGTTATTACTTGTAATATGGTAATGTTAATATGGACCTAACATTGATTTCAACAATGATTTGTAGTCTCTATAATCTGTATTCCATATACTGTACACATTAAACTTATTAAACTTTAAAATCTTGAGTAGTTAATCAGCACAATATTCATGTTATGCAAAAATAACTCTACTGTCATTTATCAATTATTTTCTCAAGTACATTACAGTACAAATACTTTTTAATATCTGTTTTTAGAATTATCTTGCAAACCAATTTGTTTCCAATTAGGTTTATGCTACTTTTCTCAATATGATTTTCACCTTTGTTTCCTCTTTAGTTCTCTGACCTTTTTACATCTCTAGCTATTAATGGTCATTCTATGAACATATGCTCTTTCAGACTTCCTATTCCTGGCCCTGGCAATGGCCCATTAGTTGCCATTATTGAACACAGAGGAAAAAAGAAAGAGGCAGTAATACAGTGTGCTCTTGAGGCTTGCAGGCTGCTTGACAGGCAAGGTGTTCTTCGGCAAGCAAAGCATGGTAAGTGTTTCTATAGGCAATGTTTTTAAAGTTATCCTATTGAAAAAATAACGGAAGCTATTTTTTGTTATTGCAGTATTGCTTGAAAGGATAAAATATACTGATGGACAGAACATAGGTATGGCCTGCAGAGTTCTAGTAATGCTCTTTCTCTGGTCCAACAAAGCTACATATTCAGTTTTATTATAGAAGATCTTGCATATAAATATGTGATATTGAGTTCACTGGAATTCTGACAGAGAAACATAAAGAAATGTAATCTTGAATTCCTTACATATTTTGACAGTGGAGTTCTCATTCATTAAATTAATTTCCTTTTATCATATAAGCTATAACTGTGCAAATATAAAATATATGAGATGTTCCTTAGCTACAATCAAAATACTGTAATTACTTAAGTGTAGTTACAATATTTTCTGTGTTGAGTTAGTGTTCATCTGCAAGAAGCAATTTGAAACAAATTAGGCACTGTAAGTGTAGAATGGGTTCCCTTAGTAGATACCCATGTGGAGGACAGGCCCTAGCCCCATGACAGGCTTTAACACCTGGCTGTGGACTGGGTTTGGTGACTCATATACTCGTGGCAGACACATAATAATGTGAGATACCCATTACTGGTGTGGTGTGCATGTGAAAAGTCAGTAATTAGAATAGAATGGAGTGTCCCTAAAAAGAGCAATCTGAGAAGCATGTGTTGTTTTGCGAGAATAAATTGTATAAGGAATGGAAATGTCATGGAAAGATATGGAGTGCAAAAGTAAATTGCAAGAATTAGCACAATGTATTGAGATGGTTTGCTTATATTGAATGATGATAGGCTGGTGATGGGAATGTATTAGTGAATTTAAGGGTTAGATGAGGAGGAAGGCCTAGAAGATGAGCAGACAGGGGGGAAAGGGGATCGAGTGAGAGCAGTGCACATCATGTGGTAGGGAACTCAACAGGGTGGCAATAGTTTATGAAGAGGGAGTAAGTGTTTTGTTGGTACTGTATATAACAACTCACCGGAAGCACTGTGCACTTAGTATTATGAAGCAACCGGGTGCTGCCATTGATGATTTGCTGAAGAGTCGTGGTGATGGTTTGCCATGATGCTGTGAAGTATGTTAAATATGGTGATTGAAATTGTATAATAATTTTATCTAGCTTTTTCCCAGTACTTTTTCTTTTCTTGGAGCTGATGTATCTCTACCCAATGGAATTGGGGAATGGAATAATGATGATAATGATGATGAATATACTCTTGGCATGCTTCAATGGTTATTCCCTAATAGCATATACCTTACAGAGAGCCATGAAAGAAAAAAACGTGACTGGGCTGAAAATGACTACTATGACTCCGAAGAGGATGATTTCTTAGACCGCACTGGAGACGTTCAGAGAAAGAGAATAAGACGTATGAAAGATGCTGGTGGAAAGGACAGTGCTTTTGTGGAAAACTATGATACTTTGGTAATATTTTTAGATATACAGTACATTGTTTATGTATTCAGCTTCCAAGTATTTAGCAAAAGCAAAGTTAACTGTTGATCTTTGTTTAGCATAAATTTATGAGCACAGCAATACAAAGAAGGGGAGAAGGCAAAAGATAGTACTGAACTGTATTTATAATGATTGTTTTTCCTTGGTTAGTGCCCTCAGTAGCTCCATAGTGCTTAGGCACTGAGTACCACATTCTTTCCTAATCATACCAGGACATAAAGCCCAAACCACACACTAGAAGATGAAGAGACGACGTCATTTTGATCCGTCCTGGACCATTATTAAGACGATTGATAATGGTTCAGGAGGGACCAAAATGTCATCGTCTCTTCATCTTCTAGTGAGCGGTTTGGGCTTCATGTCCTAGTATGATTAGGAAAGACTGTGGGTCTTGATTTGCCACCTTTTCTTGCTTACAAGCTGTATGCATTGCCCCCCAAACCCCATGGGGAAGAGGGAATAACTGGGTAAGAGTGGGGAGTTACCAAGAGATCGCTCGGAAAAGGGCATTTCATTACATTCAGCACTTACTTCTAGGCTAGTCTTCCTAGCAGCTCTTGGTGCTTATTCACAACAGTGCCTCAGAAAGGAAAATGGCTCTCAAAAAGATAATCACAACAGCAGACAAAGGGATTAAAGGGTTTACCAATGGATGATGCAGGCAAAAGAGCCAGGATTGAGGAAGAGGCGCATCAACAATTTGCCACCCACCCAAGCATCATGCAAGTACAGAGAAAACATGGGTCATCTAGGCTTGGCTAGATGGCTATCCCAATACTTACCTATTAGTGACTGGAGGAGAGAAATCTAGCACTTTATGCCTTTCCTCCGAGTCATTTATACTTGGCATGCTAATTACCTCTCTCGACATTAACATTTTCATCATATTTTTTCTTAAAATTTTGGATGGCATTGGCTTTAACGACCTGTTCCTTCAATGCATTCCACTTGCTGACGACCCGTACAGGGAACAGCACTTTCTTACATCTCTCTGACTTATTTGCATATCCAACTTTCACTGATGTCTCCTTGTTTTACTGTTTCTTACTTTAAATAAGCTTCTTTGTCTATTTTATCTATTCCCCTCAGGATCTTGTATGCATGCTATCTCTATTTCTTCTTTCTCCTCAGATTCTGAGGGGTGAGTTGTCTTAAATTCTCCTCATAACTGAGGAAAGTTTAAGACCTCTCTGTACTAATTTAGTTGCAAACCTCTGAACTGTCTCAAGTTTCTGTTTATGCTTCACATGCTCATGCAATTTGAGGTGAATAAAAACCAAAGTCCACACACCAAGTGAGGCTTCAAAATGCACATGTGTGAAGCTAACACTAAACCTTGGAATGATACACAAACAAATGGCCCCCACGGGGCTACATCCAAAGGATGGTCAACATTTATCTAGAAACAGTTGGGACCCATGATCTGGCAATTCTAGGAGTGGTCCTCATAGGAAGATATTAGGCAAAGGACTGAAGAAAAGTATTGACATGGTAGCCAGCACTTCATGGGGGGCTTCTATCTGTCTGTAACATGGGAGGTTTCACTTAACTTCAGGGTGGATCATTTGAGGAGTTGTTTGATGCCTCATTTATCTTTTCTTTGTGAACCTTAGTGTTGTCTAGTTTGCTTTGCTTACTTTCTGGATTTTTATTTTGGTGAGGGTGATTGCAAAGAGTACCCAGCTTCCTTAAGGACTCTTGTGACTGATGTAATTCATATGTGGAGTGTGTATATGCGGCTAGCTACGGGAAGCCCCTAAGGCTCAACCACAAACAGGCGTTTCATTACATTTAGTGATGGGCTTTTTCATGGCAAGGCCTTGAATGTTGAAAAAGTAAAATGTAATGTAATGGTGTGCATAGTTTACAAGAAAAATTATCTGTCCCTGATAATGATAAATCACACCAAACCAAACTAAACCCAAAATTTCTTTTATTTTTTAGATAACAAAATATAGCGAAGTTGTAAGGGAATTAGCAACACTGGAGGAAAAGCTTGCCGAGGCAGACTTTCTAAAACAAGCATCCAAGGGTAACAGTGGAGCCGATGATGATCTGGATGCTTACCTAAACAAGTTGAAGTCACAAGTACCAGACAAACACAAGCGCGTCACTTGGAAGGTAATGAATTTGCCAAGTACACCTTACTCCCTAGAATATTTAGTATTTATTTTGTTTAGGGGTACTGTGTGTAAAATGTCAAATCTAATAATGGCAATAATATCACATAGTTCTTGCATTATTTATGTGCTATATCTTAAGAATATCTCATCATATGAACTTGAAACCTACAACACTTAAGTATGATCATTAAACAGTTTTCTATTGATATTGAGCAATGTATAGTGCAACCTCAGTTACCCAGACCAATTGGTACCTCTGGGTTTCTAGATAACAGAAGAAATGATTGTGTGATGTCATTGGGGCTAGCTCTTGCTGCTGGCTGTAAGGGAGCTTCAAGGATCTCTTCACACTGATGTTGCTTAACTTGTAACTTCTCTCAGGTTTTCTTGTGTTACAGTAGTAACTTTCTCTGGTTTTCTTTACTGGGTCTTGTGTTAATAAGCATTCTTTCTGTGAGGGGGAGCACCTTGTTGCTTCCTAAAGCAACTGGGAAGCTAATTATCCTAATTAAATCCAGAGTGGTATCCTAAAGCATACCACTAGGTCCCCATCAGTTGCATAGTTCTATTGGCCTACCAGGGACCATGAGCCAGAACCTAGTTCCCTTATAGAGGTGCAAAGAGTGGTGACACTTATGGTAAAAGTTCTATGAATTTATTCATGTCTGCTACTACCAGGGAAGCACTCAAAAACTCAGCGAGACAAAACAAACCACTGCTGGCTTCAAACGAGACTGCAGTCTAGAGAACTGCCAAAGAACTCACCAAAGTACAGTACGTAAACAAACAATTGAAAATTCATGAAATTAGCGCTTGCTTGTTTGCTCCATGTCCCCAACTCATTTTAGGGTGGGGGAAGTGGAGAGACAGGCTGCAGTCAGCCAGCTGCTTCACCCTGACTTCTATGAAAATAGAACACCGCATCCCCATCCCAACGCCCCTGGATAGAGGGAGGGTGTCAGGGAGCCACCGGAGCTCACCCAGAAATTGGCATGTCATTACATTCAATGCTGGTTTTTCTGTGGCTTCCTGAAGCTAACTTCCCATGGAGAAGGAATCAACAGGTACACACTAGGGTAGAGGGAGCATAAGTGCCACCACTCTCTGTGCCTCTGTGAGGGGGGGGGGGGCAGGTTCTAGCTTGTGGTTCCCGGTAGGCCAATAGAACTCTGTGACTGATGGGACTTGGTAGTATGACTCACTTTGAGACATAGTAGCTTCAGGGAACCACCAGGGCTCACCCAGAAATTGGTATTTCATTACATTCAACATTGGTTTTCCTCAAATTTTTTACTTTATTCAAGATAAGATAGCTTGGATAATTTCATTTGGACAAGAAAATAAGAAAACATTACCTAGCAGTTGATATTTTGCTATCTTCACTTATTAGGCTTGATGCAAAATTTTCTGTTATTTATTGCTCCAAGTATTAGAAAACTGTATTGTTGTTTGTCTGTTTATGATAAAATTAAGTGGATGGGTTGATATAATTTGGTGAGGATCAGCAGTAATCCACATCCCATGGCATCAGGGTAGTCATCCACCCAGGTTCGCAGCCAGTCATAATTTTGGTTATACAGTGAGATAATCAGCATTTATATTTTAAAGAATATTTTAAAATTTTTGTTGTATTTTGAGGTAAGCTTTTGCATGGGGGATAGGAAGCACCTTCCACAATTGGCTGTGATTGAAAGACGACTAGTTTGTATTATATCAGGCATTTAAATTAGTTCAACAGGTGACCGAGCTAACTTATAGAAAGAAAAAGTCACCTATCATATTAAAATGCAATTTAAAGTCACCATTGTCTGAATCTCAATGCTATATTATTCTTGGTTGCAGTTACGAGCTGTAGATTTACGAAAAGATGAGTTGAGGTTGCGCAGACTTGCAAATATTGCCCGTCCACTTGGTGTTCCAGAGATGCAGCCGTACGAGCCCAAATACGGTCAGAATTTAACAGTCTTGTGTGGGTGGGAGGAAGATGGAGTTGTGTGAATGATACATGAGAAGTGGTAGAAAATCGGTTTACAGAGTAGTGGTTGTTTTAATGTAACTTTAAATTACAAATACTATAATGGGAACATACTACACCTAGTCATGTGAAGTGGTTGGGTACTGCAATGAGGGTTTTGCAGGACTGTGATGGTGCTACTGCTACTTAATTCTAGTTAGTATGGAAGATATAGTGACTGGATGTTTTCTTTTATGCCTTTTAATATTTGCTTTTATTATATACCATTTTAAAGCTTAGATTATTAGCTGCATTTAGAGCTTTATTTGAAACTAATCAGTCAGGTCTATGTTGTCATAGGCTATAAAAAATCTGGCAATATTGGCATGTTGCCAACTTGCTTTTTTTGGTATGAAAACATAATGAATGATGAATGGTTCATCTGGACATTTCATAAATATTGTATTGCTGTATATGCCGAGTCAGAAAACAAGAAACATGTATTAGAGGTATGTAATATTAATGATTTTCATTGCAAACGACTTGAGAATGGTCCAGGACGGACCGAAACGTCGTCGTCCCTTCACCTTCTAGTGTGTGGTCTGGTCAACATACTTTAGCCACGTTATTGTGACTCATCGCCTGCACTTTCATTGCAATCTTAGGTCTACTTGGGCGGTGTGTTGTTAGTGTAACTGTCTAATGGTAATCTTAATCTTGGCCAGAACCTTCAAGCAGCAAGCAAAGCCTAAAGCCAGAGTCTCTTGGAGCGAAGCGCAAAGAAGCTATGAAATCTGCATTTCTTTCAACACAGCCAAAGGTTAGTCATTCTTTACAGAGAGGTATGTTTCATTAATGTTGTGATTTATGCCTTATTTAATAAAAAGAATAAAAGCAGATATTCTCACTCCTGAACCTTTGAACAAATAAAGGGCATTTAATCCAAATGTGCAAAAATATCAATCTACTGTGTAGTCAGTATTATTGATAATTCATGATTTATTTCAACTGTTATAGGAACCTTGTTTCAAACCCCACAAGATTTTCATGGAAGAGGAACCAGAGCAGAAGCCGCGGCTCAGAAGGCTGGATGATGATGATGATGATGAGCCTCCAGTTCGATTTTCTCAAGCACCCGCACGTAAAGGCAAACCCCCAAGACAAAATATTAAATATGACAAAATAAAAAAGTCTGAATTGGGAGTGCCAGGAAGTTCAGATAGTAAAACAAACAAATACAACAAATCTAGTTTAGTAGAGTTCATTAAGGATGAATCCTTGTCTAGAAAGGTTTTGGCTGTGAAAGAATCAGAACTACCATCTCCAGACTTGCACCATGCTGGAAAAAGTAATGTAAGTGGAAATGATTCAAAATTAAATAAAGACAGAGAAATTGTTCATGCTGTTGGTAATCATACTCAGCACGAGAGTAATAACAATGATGAAGCTGAAGGAAATAGCAGCAGCGGTGACATTACCATTTGTGAAAGATCAAATATCTCAAAAATTTCCCCAAGCAAAGATTTATCATCTGAAAACATACAGGACAGCCCTTCAGAGAAGAAATTGAGAATTATAGGTCCCAGTTTGCCTCTACACTTGGCACACCTGAAGACTGGACATCAGGTAAGAGTAAAATTCTTGCAATTTAATAAATTTACATGTAAGGTTATGTGCTGTATTTGGTATATTTCTATTTTCTATTAGGATGGGCTTCAAGGCATTACTGTATCATATAGATTAAGTTTTCTTTTTTTAACTTATGATTACAAGTACTTTCATACAAATACATAAACAGTATAATGCTATTTAGCAGCAAATGATACATTCACACACATGCACATGTCTTACAGTTAAGAATATACGTAGGTGCAAGACTATACTGAAAGTTCATTCATGTCTATGCATACAAAAAAGCAATATAGCACACAGTGCAAGATGTGGAAATTAGTTTTGTGAAAAGCAGCTGATGTAAGTATATGGGATGGGTAGAGTAATGAAGAAGTATGAGAAAGCTGTCATGTTTGAAAAGGGTGAGGGGATGAAATGTTGAGTTAGTGAAGCACCACGAGTTTTGGTGGTATGTAAGGTATGCACATGTTAGTAGCATGTCTTGAAATCATTAATGAGCTGGGTATACAAAGGTTAAATAAGGGGATCATATGGTAGCTGCATATGACCTATAACTTGGGAAGGAAGAGTGACATTGTACTTGAAAGAAAGGGTGGAAGGTGGGGTTGAAGAGGAATTCAAAGAAGTTGAAGTTCCATTTATCTCTTTGAAAAAGTTGTTAAATGGTCTTTGATACTGAGTACGTCATATATAATTCTATAGACAGCTGTTGTGGTCATTTCCTCTAGCTCATTCAAAATAATCATTGTTTCCCATTTGCTATGTTTATGATTGCATGCAAAATTATTTAGAAAAATTGGTGTATAATGTCTAGTATTAGATTGCATTGAGAGTTGCAATATGTAAGATGCTTTATAAGCTTTTTCTTTAGTGTTTTAGGTAGGTCTTATGTACAGTATTTAGATAGACATTAGAATGTATGTTTTATTCATACAGGATCGTGCAGGGAAAAGAAAAAAACAAGAAAAAAGCAGAAAGTATGATGAAGATAATCCAAATTATGATACTTGGACCCCACCACAGCGACAGTCTGGAGATGGACGCACCAAATTAAATGAGAAATTGGGATATTAATTAACAAAATAAAGCGATTCTCAAAAGAACATATTTGACTGGAATAAGCATAATATGTTATTAGGGGTTCCTTGGTAATTCTTTTACCTCTGAACTGTGATATTTATAATTTTTATTTGCCTAGCTAAACCTCACACAGGCCACAGCTATTTTAACTTTTATTGAAGCAAATTAATTCACTGGTTGGGTTTGTCTTCTAGTACTTTTATTTATTTGTTGAATGGTAAGTTTGTGATAAACATTTCAAGTGGATATAAAAAAATCAAGACCTACAAATTGGTATGTTTTTGCTTCATTGACACAACGTACAGTACCACCAGTGGTTGATGAATTATTCTTTTTAAATTGCTGGCTAAAATGAGCAACACAGGTAGCTATGTCAAATCATTATAACCTTGTAGGGTTGAACTGTTTACTGATGTGGAGTTAGCAGCAACATTAATATAAGCTTTGTTAATTAAAGTAAAGGATGCAAAGATTAAAGTGTGTGTTTTCTAATGGATGTTTGATAATGACAAAGGTGTGTAATGTCTTCAAGGCTTTATATAACACATGCTATATTAGATGGAGATACTTGAGAGGAGAATGAGCATGTGTATAGGACAAGCAAGACTGAGAGTTGGATGGAAAAAATAAACATGGTTACTATTATTTAGTCCCATTTACTGATGACTTAGAAATAATGGCAGACAGCAAGGAGAGTTGGAGAAAGTGGTGAATGAGTTGTGCAGTGTGTGTGTTACCAAAGGAAAAGGTGAATACCAATATGAGAGGGTAGTTTTGAAAGGTAAGAAAGCAGATGCAATACAGGGTAGAATATACATTGTCATAAAGTTTAATATTTATATGAATGATGAAGTATGGTTAACAATCATAATAATTAACAAATTTCCCAATGTCATGGGGAGGGAAGGCAGCAGCCCAGATGACAGAGAGAGCAGAGTACAATGATAGAGGGTTATAGATAATACAAAATAGTACTCATTCATTCAGTATATCATCCACACAATAGCAGTACATATATAAGTATACTAGAACCGCCACTCAACAGCAACCCTTCACCAACAGTACCACACCACTTCATAAGGCCAGGTTTACAGTGCTATTTCCTATTCACTTCCTTGCATACAGCTGTCATCCTGTGTTTCTTACCATACCTTGTGATTTGTTCACAAACTCTGCTTCTGTTCCTTACCGTACCTTGAGTTGTTCACAAACCCTGCTTCCTCTTACTTGCTTGTAAAGTCGGCCCATCTGGGATTTTCTCTCTGTCTTGTACCTGTAAAGTAACTAAAAAACACGCCATATGTCTATCTTCCATTTGTTTTGTACCACAACTGATCCATCTCTGCACACTCAATCTTGCAATTTATTGGCTTTTGCATTAGCATCCATGACAATTTAATTTCTCACTGTCTGTCCTCTTGATACAACACATGATTGTAGGATTGTCAATTTCTTTTATAATTCTTGATTTTTTCAAGTTGATGGCACACCATTGTCATGCGTCTGTGCTTGAAGAAAGGCACTACCGCTCATTCATGAAGTCCTCTGGCACTATTTTGCAGAATTTAAATATTTTGGTATTGTGCTATGCTCTAACGTGGAACAGAGGAGGGGAAAATGCTGTGCTTTAACATGGAACAGAGGAGGAAGAGTGCTATGTTCTAATATGGAACAGAGGAGGGAAAGTGCTATGCTCTTATATGGAACGGATGGAAAAGGTTATGCTCTAACATGGAACAGAGGAGAGAAATTGCTGTGCTCTACCATCTATTAAAACATCTGGATCTATCAACAAAATTGAGAGGTGCAAACAGCATTATGGATATGATGATTGTTTTTTGTCTGTACAGTATATTCATGACTGACATACGGACTCCATAATAAATGCATTTGGTAAGCATAGAGGAGTGAGGTTATGGAAGACATAAACCACATACAAGGTGTATGGTAGCAGAACACGTTAGATGCTTAGCCAAGGTTTGGAAAAAAGGATATGATACAGGCTTGGAAGGAAGATATGCGAGTGTGAAATACAGTGTGTTAATAATTACTGTACCAGGTACCTAAGTTAGGTTAGAGGATGAGAGCTACGCTTGTGGTGCCCCGTCCTCCCAGCACTCTTTGTCATATAATGCTTTGAAACTACAGTATTAATGCTTTTAGCCTCAACCACCACCTCACCAAACTTGTCCCAACCATCTACCACTCTGTGAAAGTGAATTTTCTCATTTCTTTGGCAGCTTTGTTTAGTTAGTTTAAATCTATAACCTCTTGTTCTTGAAGTTCCAGGTCTTAGGAATTCTTCCCTGTTAATTTTATCAATTCCTGTTACTATTTTGTATGTAGTAATCATATCGCCTCTTTTTCTCCTATCTTCTAGTTTTGGCATATTTAATGCCTCCACCCTCCACCCTCCTCATAGCTCTTGTCTTTCAGTTTTGGGAGCCACTTAGTAGCATGCCTTTGCACCTTTTCCAGTTTGTTGATGTGCTGCTTAAGATATGGACATACAACCTCTGCATATTCTAGCTTTGGTGTAACAAATGTTGTGAATAATTTCTTTAGTATTTCACCGTCCATGTATATTTAAAAGCAAATCTGAAATTGGAAATTGTAGCATAGGTACCTCACATGATGTTCTTTCTGTGGTCCTCAGGTGATAGTTTTCTATCTAGAACCACCCTTAGATCTCTTTCTTTATCAGAATTGTTTTTTAAAGATTTCTCACATAATTTGTTGGTTGTGTGTGGTCTATGTTTTCCTATTCCACATTCCATAACAGGGCATTTATTCACATTCTTCATGATCTCTTGAGGTTACCTTCAGATGATTTCGGGGCTTAGCGTCCCCGCGGCCCGGTCCTCGACCAGGCCTCCTTTTTGTTACACACCCCCAGGAAGCAGCCCGTAGCAGCTGTCTAACTCCCAGGTACCTATTTACTGCTAGGTAACAGGGGCATCAGGGTGAAAGAAACTCTGCCCACTTGTTTCCGCCTCCACCGGGGATCGAACCCAGAACCTCAGGACTACGAATCCGAAGCACTGTGCACTCAGCTGTCAGGCTCCTGTCTGTACAGGTGATGCATAGATGCATGAAACAATGGCCGAGTGCTGGCTTTCTGCCTCACGCTGTGACCATCATAATTAGTATTGTGTTCACTGATATCTGAACATTGTACATAGTCTTTATCACAGTCAGGATCTATTACAATATCATTGCATAATAATCACCGTTATTTATTTTATTCATAATTTTTATGTGGTGCTGTGGCCCATAGCTGCACAGCGGTGCTATGAACTCCTGCTGCATGCACCAGCCCTGGTCGCTCTCTCAGTACCGAGACTTTCACAGCCAGAAGGGATGCAGACAATTGTTTCTTCTCAAGATGACATTTGTTTACTGGAGCCTTGAAGAGCAGGATGTAAGCCCTATGTACCCACTGGAGTTTTAAATCTTATGCTAGACCTAAAAAACAACCCTGGTTGTGGTGTGCACCATTGATGAAATAACCCTGGTGTGGTGCGTAGATGAAGGATTAAAGACAAGATACAGTACTACCATGTATAATTTCTTAGTTGATATAAATGTACTGTATATACATATCCAGTATTTTGACCAATAACTTGTTATATCTGATTAATGACATTTTTTACAGATGCATTTCATTTTGCACTTACTACCAACCTAGAAAAAAAAAATGATGTTAACACCATGTTAGAGATCACGGTATAGTACTGTATATATACACCAAGAGGTGAACCCCAACTTGTAATACTGTATGTACACTGAGAGTACTTTAGTCATGAACTATGTTCAGGAGTAAAGTATACTTACTGGTTGGTCACCAAGTTATTAAGACAACCTTAATATCCCCAGACTGTTGATATGCTTTAAACTCAACACCAAGGCAGAGTGTTAGAGAGGTTTCACTGCTACATTTACTGGGTGTAGAATTATAATAGGATATGTACTTAACTATGTATTTTGATTAAATAAAAGCTCATAAAATTTAGAAATGTATAGGCCTAATTTCATAAAATTACATTTCACAAAAAATTTCTCATTTTTTCCTCTAAACAACAGACTCATTATTACAAAGTTTTGTAGTGCAGGCATCAGTGACCCAAATACCTTAGAGTATAATGTGAAGGCTTGATGGATATGTAGAGTACTATGTAGTGTGGGGAACAAACCAAGAGGATTGGTAAGTATCAAATTTTCCACCACTTTATAGTGTTGTAAATAATTTTCTATTACTAATACAATAAAGCTACATTAGAGGACAGGAATTTATACTCTATATTCACAGATGTTTATTTACATACACCTTATATCAACATGCTTTACAGCATAGTACCATATTTACATACAATGCCAGGTATTGTGATTACACCCTCACATGCGCATTGTGTGGGTAATTACTACTAGGTATTCTAAGATAAAGGCTTGAGCTCCAGTGAACGTGGCACTTCATCACTTCACCAGTTACTACTACCTACAACAATGTGGTCTTCTTACCAGACCAAACAACACTACTACGGTTAGTAAAATTATTTATTTTTTGTCTATACGTGTAAATAGTAACCACATCAATAAATTATCCATATACAGTATCATGGACTTGACCTCTGTGAATATGGTATAAATGTCTGTATATTTTCTTGGCATGCTTTCAATGGTCTTTATTTTACTGAAGCCTACTCAAAAGAAAGCAAGGTTATGAAAAACATATGTAATGTAATGGCCATAGGAGGTTTCTGTAAGAATTTGGTCCAAATATAATAGAAGAAAAAATGTAACCATAGAAACCATGAGTTGTCAGTAAGATTGACATTACATTATTTGTTATTAGTATAATACAGTAATGATGTTTTGCAGTACAGTAATTGTTAATATCTGGAGAGGTTGAATGGTGACTCTATGTAGCTAGCTAGCTAGCCATACTGAGATAGTCCCAAACAGGAGTTCATAATAGTCTACTGAAGACCACAACCAGAACCTGGATCCCTCACATAGGTGCAGGGAGCACTGGACTGATACAGTAACTTCATCAAGGTAATGTCCAGAAAGTAAATGAAGCAAAACAGACAACAGCATTGTTCAGAGAAAGAGACGAAACGGCAAATGACGCTACAAAAGGTCCACCCATTAGTCAGTTTGAACAGAGTACTGCCCCTTGAGTACAGGCGGCAGCACCATTGTGAGCTGTTGGGCTCTTATGTCAATTGTCAGCATTCCTTAGTCCATCGTCTGATGTCCAACTCTTTAGACTGCTCCTCAAGTCTCCAGGCTTTTGGGTTCCAACTGATTCTAGATAAGTGTTGGCCATTCTTAGGGCTCTGTATTATAGGGGCTCATTTGCTTATGTATCATTCCAAGGTTAATTTCACCTCTGTTTACAAGCTTCACTTGTATGAGCTATGGAAACTGCTCACTGAGCTGTATAAGCTCAGGGTAGCCTTTTTTTCCCTTAGGCACTTGTTTGGTAATGCTGCTGCCCTGACAGTACATTTTCTGGTGGGTTTGGGAGTTTGTTCATAGAGGCTGGCCTACTCTGCAGAGTGCCCTACCGAGTAGTGCAAAAGGTTTTTGACTCTTGTGAGGCTCTGAGGTTATGGACATTCTGGGGTCTTATTGGGGTGTGTACTTGTCCATATGGAGTGCTGTTTGTGCAAAAACCTGAATTTTGCCTGCATGGTTTTCTCCATGGGAAGAGTTTTTCTCAGATCATTA